AACTACACACACACACACACACACACACACACACAGACAAACGCTACTGAAAACATAACCTTCTTGGCGAAGGTAATGATAGGAAAGTGTATAGCCGTATCACGTCACTTATATCATTTACATCATTTATATATAGGCTCACAGTGGATTTTATTTACAGGAGAGGCTCCCGAAGATCTGTCCACGCTGGAAGAGGAAATCGGCGTGGGGGTCGATGAGTTTGTGGAAGCTGTTGAGGCCGGTACGTTTACACTCTCCATCTATATGCGGGCGTTGTTATAGCTGGCCATGTGCACATGTAGAACCTAATGGCTTGGTGTTATTGGTGTTTTCAGATATGACAGCAATAAAGCAATAAAGGGCACACGTTACTGTGTTATATCCGGAAATCCTTTATTAGCTCCTTACAGTTAGAAAAGAAATATACATACTTGCCGAAAATAGAATTGTTCAAACATATTATGACATCCAAGCGCTATGATATAAATGAAAAACTATGTAAATTTGTTCATACATGTTTTAAGAGAAGAGATCCTGTAGTTGGATCCTGTAGATAGAGAAATAGCATACGAATGTAACAATTGCTTCTTCTATTCTTGTACCCACAAGTTATTTAACTTAAGTGCATTTGGCCCGTGTAGGGCGTGAACATGCAATAAAGTTCATTGTCATTGTCATTGTTAACTTAAATTTTGCTGTTGTAGATTTGATAAGGGTGACATTGTTATATGCCATACGTTGATTGTTTTATCCTGTAGTTGCTGAGCTGGAATGGCTGCCTGGTGATCCGGACACGGTGGTCGACCCATCCGGAAAACCCACGGATAAAGAAGGCCCAGGGAAAGCCCTGGATGGAGATCCGGAGACGTTCTGGAGCCCAGAAGGAACTGAGTATGGATATGTTGTTTAGTTGTCTTATCGTTTTACAAACTGAATGTGTTAATCGTAGGATAAAATGTATGAATGCTTTTTCGCAATCGTTAAAACACTGCAGTGGCTTTTCATTATGATTGTCCTTCAGATCTTTAGATCCTCTACATTTGTACAAAATGGACTTAGCATGATGTTTGTCTACATAAATAAAAAAAATTTATACAATTCAGCTATGAGTTCTTCAGCAGTTAGGCCCACTTCTCATTAACATAATCATTGCTTTGCTTCACCATATACAGATACCTGACTGTTTGTTCTCATTATTAAGGAACTGGATCATCACTTTTGACATGGGCACTGAGTACACCATGGACAAGGTCAAAATCGTCAACATCGGGGACACAGATCACGACATCAAGGAGTTCACTCTCCTCTCGTCACCCACCGGGAAAAAGGACAGCTTCGTCACCGTGAAGGAGTTCACAGATGTGCAGCCAGGCACCAAGGAGCCGCAGGTGTTCGGGGGGTTCGTGGTGACCGCCCAGTTCTTCCAGATCCTCATCACGCAAACCCACGAGGGGCACCAACCGCAGGTCGTTGAGATTCAGTTTGAAGGAAAAGAAGGTGAGATTCGCGGTTTTATATATTCCAACATTTCATGACTAGACATGGACACTCAAGTTATATCAGCTTATTTCATGCCTCCACCAACAATATAATTATATAGAACAAATACAAGACAGGACAATACTTATTTCACTCAAGTTAAGTGAGGAAAGTGCCTTTCCCAAGGACACAAGATCGGTGGCATGTCAGGACTCGAACCCGGGACCTCTTGGTTCCAAGTCGAGCACTCTGACGTTACGCCAGATGGCCCCACCAGATTCGTGGTTGTAGATAGATACAATGTTCAACTTTATTCCAGCACAAAGATTACACAGAGACCACTGTCGCCTTCATCAGGGTAACTAATGACCAATCACGTCAAAACGTAATCTCGCAAGAGTAATGCGGTTACAGACAAGTTATTAATTACCCTGATGAAGGCGACAGTGGTCGTTGAAAATTTGATCTCTGTGTAATCCTTACGTTGGAATAAAGTTCAACATTTTACTGTGATGGCTACCAACACAGATGAACTTTCATGAAGATGTTACAAAATTGTAGAATTGTCTCTTGTTAACGGACGTTATGAAGTATGTACTGAGAGAGTCTATCATACTGCAGGTACTTTGCCAGATGGTGTTGACCCAGAAGACTTGACTAAAGATATCCCGGCTGGAGTGGAGATTGCGGAAATCGTAGCGGCTGTTAGTGACGGTAAGACTGTTTGTTGTATTCGGTGAAGGTTAGACACCCAGGTAATAAGATACAATATACGCCAAAAAACAGTTACTGACAAGCAACTGGGTATGATTTTGGAAACGGCCAGACAAATTTGCATATCAATCAATAGTTCGTACTTATAAACCTACTTTTCTGACGAAAGGTAGTGGATGCCTTCTGAAACGTCATTATTTTTGGGCATTATTGAATATCAATTTGGCACATTCACTGTTTACAAACAAGGTACAAACAAGATTTTATACTGGAGGGGAGGACACAGCTATTGAGATGATGACTTCATTAGAATTTATGGTATTCCCGCCAAACTTCACCCAGTTGGTTGATGTTTGCATCGGCCTACATACTAACTAGATTTATCTATCGGTTTTGTCCTAGAAGGTAAGTATAAAATAACTTTCGCCAGGGAAATTGGCAGTTGGAACATAGAGCTAACATCAGAACGTTAACTTAACTAAAAAGCTTAACTAATACTTAGTAACCATTTGTCATCTCTCCATGCAGTACAAGACACCGACTGGATTCCTAACGATGAGGGCTGGGTCGTCTTCTCCTCGGACAACCCGGAGGAAGGACACGAACCCGAGAAAGCTTTCGACAACGACCCGACAACGTATTGGACCACTGAGGAGGACGACGTCGAATATTGGTTCATTGACGTCGACCTAGGAACACCCTACACGGTAGACAAGGTGCGCATCACCAACACTGGTGACGAGGACCATGACGTGGAGTCATTTATCCTGTACAGGTCCCCCTCTGGTGCTCCCGAGACCTGGACACAGGCAGTAGTAGTCCAGGGAGTGCCAGTTGGGGAGGAGGAACCTCAGGAGTTTGGAGACTTTGTGGTGTCCTCCCGATTCTTTAGCGTTGTCGTCACGAAGACAAGTGGAGGCCAGGCACCACGGTTGGCGGAGTTCGAGTTTCATGGCATAGAAGGTATATATTATAACAATAACAATACAGTCTTATGATTCGTGTCTGGTTCTATGATTGATTCCCTTTGCAAATTTGGAAAAGAGAACCACTTGTCATTACAAATAGTTCTTCCTTTTGATTTTATTAGCGTATACGAAAGACTGAAACGTAACATGATTATGTTTCATCTTCTATTAATAGGTGGTCTTCCAGAAGGGCTTCAACCTGAGACAACCTTTGAGGAAGTACCAGAAGAAATGGCACCAGCACCGGGTCCTGGACCAGGGCCAGGACCAGAGGAAGGAGCACCCGGTCCAGAAGGAGCACCCGGTCCAGAAGGAGCACCTGGTCCAGAAGGACCAGAAGGTCCCGAAGGAGAAGAACCAGAAGAACCCGGAGAAGAAGAGCCAGGAGAAGAAGGGCCAGGGGAAGAAGGACCAGGAGAAGAAGGGCCAGGGGAAGAAGGACCAGAAGAAGAAGAAGAACCAGAAGAAGAAGAACCAGGAGAAGAAGGACCAGAAGAAGAAGAGAACCAGAAGAAGGAGAACCAGGAGAAGAAGGGCCAGGAGAAGAAGGGCCAGAAGAAGGAGAACCCGGAGAAGAAGGGCCTGAAGAAGAAGAACCAGAGGGAAACCGCCCCGACCTTGTGCAATTAGTAGAGACAACCAAATTAGGTATGGCCACTATTTTCTGAATCAGTTGATTGGTGTAAAAGGAAAAGGTTGACACAACTGTAGCAAACTGTAAGTCACAATGGGCAACAGTAATGCATGACATCGGTGCTTGCAGATGCAAGCTCTCTTTGATGCTCACTAAAACATTGATTTGAACTTGTCTTCCAGTGCAAACTTTGGATTGGCTACCATCAAAGCCGACGTGGGCTATAGAGGCATCGGGCGTCCCAAAAGAGGAGGATGGAATCGTCTATGATCCACCAAAGATCCTCGACAACGACGGGCAGACATACTGGGCACCACAAGGCTTGGAAAGGTTTGTCGTAACATCCTAGTAATACAATACAGGACGTATTGATTGACGTGTATATTTTTCATGTTGATTCCCTCAAGGCGCAGCATTTGCAAGTGCGAAGAGGGTAACGTTTTTAAGCATCTTTCTATTTTCAAATCTGCAGGTACTTCAATAATTGGTATATAATTTTCGACTTGGAAACAACGCACACAATCGACAAGATCAGTGTCACCCATCTCGGTGACACGGTACATGACGTGAAGACCTTCACCCTGTCGTACGCGACAGAAGACGATCCTGATACCTTCCTTCCCGTCAAGTCATTTGAGGGGGTCCAACCGGCTGTCAACGATCCTCAAGAGTTCGCAGGATTCCTCACTCCGGCACGTTACTTCAGGATCACCATCACTGCTACGTACCAAGGGTACGAGCCATACCTTGCTGGACTTGACTTCCACGGTGTTGAAGGTACGTGTGACCACACGTGTTGTACTACATACCATTTTAAAAAAATATATTCTAAGATATTCCAATCACAAGACATGGTGGGGACACAATCAAGTTTTTGCAACTTATATTGTTAGAGCCTGAAACGCGTTATACAGGCAAATTGTAACAAAGTCGCTATTTCTCTTGGAAATGGTCGGAAATCATGTTCTTGCATTCCTAACTTAAATGCCGTAACCAACACGGGACAATACAATACTCATTTTTACCTGCATGGGCGAAGTGAGGAAAGTCGTGTTAAGTGCTTTTACCGAGGGCACAAGATCGGTGGCATGTCAGGACTCGAACCCGGGATATCTTGGTTCCAAGTCGAGCATTCCACTTGACCCCGCTACCACACACCATTCACAGTACATGTATGATGTGAATTTTGCGTTGCAGTTGTTTTCCCCACAGCATTCTGCAATCGTGACTTTTTAACACTTCTGGTTGTATTAATACAACATTTTTTCTTTTCACACTCATTTCAGGAGAGCTACCCGAAGACCTCGATCCTGATAGCGTACTGGAAGATACGGGTCTTGACGTTGCTGACCTAGTGGCTATTATTCCTATCCGTAAGTATTTAAGTTTTTTAACCTTATCTATTCATTTTGGCTGAAGATGCTGCCAAGACTGCCCAACCAACATGAGCTAGTGTTACTTAGTACTAACATTGAGGATAAGACGAGACGGGGATTTGCCAGGCCTCCGTCCGGTTGATTTGTAGTGAATAGGATTTGAACTAGACCACGCCAGGGGTATGCCCCTATTTAAAAACTTTAGCTTCTTGACAATTTTAGAAAACAGTGCATGCAATACAAAAAATGAAGCTGGGCAACATTTGAGAACTTGTAATGTCTACCAAGATAAACATAGTATTACGTATTCCATATTTTTTCCATATTTCTTTAGTGGAGGCTTCTGATTGGCTGCCCGAACCGAAAGCTCCTGTCGAACCCGTGGAGGAAGATGGCGTGACTTATGTAGAGTTTGACTACGAGGTCACGTACACCATGGACAAGATTGAGATCACCGACACCACAGTGCAATCCTTCACCCTGGAGACCTCAACCACAGGAGAACCCGACACTTGGGAAGTCGTGAAAACGGTCGACGACCTGCCAGAGGAACCTGACCAACCAAGACAGGTCACTGGCTTCCTGGTTTCGTCGCGCTTCTACCGCATCACCGTCACGTCTACGTATGAAGAAAAGAAACCGGAATCCATAGCGGTCACCACTTTCCATGGTGTTGAAGGTAATCTTTTATTTTCATTCCATTAATTTGAATTGCGACATAATTCACATGCTATGCTATGTGTTGATATGCCAATGAGCTCTATTTTTGGGCACCAGATATAACACACCTTATTTCTGTTCTATTTTTGCAAAGCAAAACAGGTGTGGATCGGTGAACAACTATCTATGGTCCTTCTTGTTCACTGCGTAATCTATCAAAATACAAGCTATTAAAAGCATTCATGATGTTTTGCTGTTACCTTGTAGGGAAGATACCTAAAGGGGTTAACACGGAAGGCATCGAAGACCTTCTGGCCGACAAGATAGACATGGAGACTATTGAAGAGGTGGTTGACAAAGGTATTTATCAATATACTACATGTACATATATAACGTGTGTAACGTATTATGTTTTGAAAACCTCTGATCACTTCACTATAGGGTTTGTTTGTCTTTAGCTGATAACAGTTTGCGTTTAAATCTAATTCAGCTGTATGACGATGTGGATCATTGTCATGTTTGTCGAATCTGTTGAAATAACCCATCAACCAATGGTTTTATATAAAAAGCAACACTTGCATATTTTACATTATACACTACAGCGTTGTACAAAGTAAGATATTTTCTCAATTCAAACATTTGGGTATTTTGTTCAGTCGTCGAGGCCAAGTGGTTGCCCGGCAAGCCAAGTGAACCAGAAGAGGATGAGGACGGAAGTACCAGCGTGGTTTTTGACTTCGAAACAGAACATACTTTCCACGAAGTGAACATAGTGGACGAGTCCGTGAAGTCATTTACATTAGAGGTAGGTAGTGAATTTCGTTTAGGGCTACAAAACTGAATTTATTTAGTGGTAGTGATTTTGATTTGGTACTTTCTACTATCATTCAATTAATAAAAGCAGAAAAGATTTGGAGGGCCAAGAAGACATTGATTAAAGAGTAAAAACTAAAACAGGATACCCTTTCTTAATGCTTCCATCTCCTAAGAAAAATGAGATTGGAAATTCGTCACTACTAGATAAATTCAATGTTAAATACATTTTGTACAATACCATTTCACAACGACAATACTTTATTTAAAATAAGGTTTCTACTGAGGAAAAACCTGACACGTGGACTGTGGTGACAACATTTGACGATGTTAAACCTCAAGATTACTCTGGCTTCGTAGTGACGGCAAGGTTCATGCGCATTGTTGTTACCGAAACGTATCCAGGCAAGACGACCACCCTAGTGAGCACAACGTTCAACGGATCGCCAGGTGGTTTACTTATAAGAATATCGGGATTCAAGGGACAGTCAAATTGCACAATATTATCATAATATAATTATAGTTTAGCATTATCTAAATGGCCAAAGAATACAAAATGTATCAAACTTGTCACTATGTTACCAGTAGATGTATCTGTCCACTTTTATTATTTCCCCAATAATTGCTGTCAAACTTTTAGCTTTCTTCTTCTAAATCACTTAATATTGTTTTATTTCCCACTGAAATAAAGAAAATCTGTTATCTTTTAGGTGGGTTACCTGTAACTCCGAAACTTGAAGAAATAGAGGAAGAAGAAGGGCCAGAGGAAGAAGGACCAGAAGAAGGACCCGAGGGTGAAGAAGGACCAGAGGGTGAAGAAGGACCAGAGGGTGAAGAAGGGCCAGAGGGTGAAGAAGGACCAGAGAGTGAAGAAGGACCCGAGGGTGAAGAAGGACCCGAGGGTGAAGAAGGACCCGAGGGTGAAGAAGGACCCGAGGGTGAAGAAGGGCCAGAGGGTGAAGAAGGGCCAGAGGGTGAAGAAGGACCAGAGGGTGAAGAAGGACCCGAGGGAGAAGAAGGACCCGAAGGTGAAGAAGGACCAGAGGGTGAAGAAGGACCCGAGGGAGAAGAAGGACCCGAAGGAGAAGAAGGACCTGAGGGTGAAGAAGGACCCGAAGGACCTGAGGGAGAAAAAGGACCCGAAGGACCTGAGGGTGAAGAAGGGCCAGAAGGGCCTGGGGGTGAAGAAGGGCCAGAAGGACCTGAGGGTGAAGAAGGGCCTGAAGGACCTGAGGGTGAAGAAGGGCCAGAAGGACCCGAGGGACCTGAGGGTGAAGAAGGACCCGAAGGACCTGAGGGTGAAGAAGGACCCGAAGGACCTGGGGGTGAAGAAGGACCAGAAGGACCCGAAGGACCTGAGGGTGAAGAAGGACCCAAAGGACCTGGGGGTGAAGAAGGACCAGAAGGACCCGAAGGACCTGAGGGTGAAGAAGGACCTGAGGGTGAAGAAGGACCCGAGGAACCTGAGGGTGAAGAAGGACCCGAGGGTGAAGAAGGACCCAAAGGACCTGGGGGTGAAGAAGGACCCAAAGGACCTGAGGGTGAAGAAGGACCAGAAGAACCTGAGGGTGAAGAAGGACCTGAGGAAGAACCAGAACAACCAGAAGAAAATGAACCGGAGGGACCTAGACCAGATCTTGTTAGTGTTGTGGAGCTTGTCCATTTTGGTAAGTAATACCGTATTTTGCTTTTTTAATAATAGTTATATGTTTCTGACTTGACGGGCACTGCCATTACATTGTGATCCCTAATCGAGCGCTGTGTTGAATATTGACCTTCTTCGCCCTCAGGTCATATTATATAATTTAATGAATTGGGCATTCTTTGGACTTACATGTATATCGATATGACAGTATGACTTTTAACATATGTATAACAATTTGACCGCTTCTCTTTCAGTTCAGACATTCAGTAAGCTGCCTGTTAAGCCCAGTATGGTCGCAGAGGCAGCTGGAATTCCCCTGGAGAAGGACGGAGTTGTGTTTGACCCTACTAAGGTCTTCGATGGAAACCCGGACACATATTGGGCTCCTACAGGTCTACCCAGGTTTGTTTGTAATTCGTAATACTTGAATTTTGCCAACTAAATCAATTCCCCCACGGTACCAATGTATTTATGGTGTTCCGAAGTTAGTTACAGTGTAACATCTATAACTCTATGATAGATAAATTGAACCATCTTGAATTTGCATTGTGGTCTGCAAGGGGAATGGCGAAGGGAAACGTGACGTTCGGTATTTTTTTTCACCAGCAACTTCAATAAATGGTGGTTTATTGTGGACCTCGAGAAGACTTTCACAATCGATAAGGTGACCATCACCAACACCGGGGACACGACACACGACACAACGTCTTTTACCATATCAACATCCGACACGAGTGACCTGGAAAGTTTCACGGTGGTGAAGAAATTTGACGTTGATCCTGGGACCGATGAGCCTCAGGACTTCGGTGGATTCCTCGTCACCACCCGTTACATCCTCATCACCGTCACATCCACGACGGGTGGGGAGGAGCCACACGTGGCCGAAGTCACTATCCACGGCGTGGAAGGTCAGTGGTTTTTCGCTAATTTTTTTTAACGGGGTGGTTCAATGCAAGGCGTATACGACCACTTCTCGGCATTGAACTAGAAATATGGGAGAAACATGGCTATGTCAAGAGATGGCGGTGAGTGGTGATTTGAAAGCCTGTAGATTGTATATTGGTGGGAAACTTGTCAGGGAGGGAATTACAAAGCTTGGCCGTACGGGGAAAGAAACTCACTGTAAAAAGATTTCGAACAAGGAATTTGGACGGTGAAGTTGTGTGAGCTAGTGGAGAACCTAGTGGAACGCTTAAAAGTTCTGAGTGGTGGAACTAGTTGAGTGAGTTCTGCAGAGCAATGACCATGAAAATGTCTGTAAAAGAGGTATAAAGAGACAACATTTCGTCTATGGGAAAGGGGGTCTAATCCATCCCCTACATGAAAATCTTCCGTAAATCTACTTCATTGCATCATCTTTCATGCTGCTTAACCCAATACCAAGTGGATTATTAGCAGCCGCACAGGTGTTAATCATAAAACAAGCGACCAGTACAAATGAAACAAAAGTAATGACGGTAAAGGTACATAAGGAACAAAACTGATTCTGTGGGTGTAAAAGACAAGTGAATTTAGTGTGTTATTCTTTTGTGGACGTATTCATTTCAATTTCACAAGTTCCTGACCGATAGATAGAATGTACACTATTGTGATTCTGAATAACTATTCTGATGCAGACAGAAAAATAGGTTATGGTTATTATTTTCCATATTTTGTGTAACATAGATTATATATATTCGTTGCAGGCGATGTGCCAGAAGACGTTGAACCAGACACCATTGAGGAAGACACGAATACAGACATCGGAACGTTAGTGCAACTGCTCCATGTCTGTAAGTCTCATTCTAGTATCATTGTTCTAGTATCGTTCTATGTCACAAAAGTACATGTATGTGTGGAACGTTTTATTAGGGACGTTTTTATTATTTGTCTAGGCGTGACTTTGCAAACCTTTGACCTCTTTCACTGAATAACTACCTCATTGTGAAGTTTATTCTTAAGGCCTAGGTCCTATTCTTCCCGAAGCAACAAGCACGTCTATAGACTATGAGTTTGTCGAAATGAAGTCCCAACAAACTATGTACCATATACAATACCTTGTTCATATATTTTCTTCACATAGTTGAAAAGACGGATTGGTTGGTGAAACCATCTACTCCAGCCGAACCAGTCGAAAAGGACGGTACAACAACCATTACCTTTCAATTTGACACTGACCGCACACTGGACACAATCAAGGTTCCAGACCCTACCGTCAAGTCATTCCGGTTGGAAAGTTCACCAACTGGAGAAGACGGTACGTGGACTGAGGTTACTACTGTGAGCGAGGTACCCAGGGAGCCAGACGAGCCGAGGGAGTTCGGTGGATTCCTCGTGACTGCTCGAGTGTTCCGTATTGTCGTGACGTCGACGTATGAGGACAAGAAGCCCACTCAACTGACAACGATCGAATTCCACGGAACAGAAGGTAATCGTCGAGAATCATGCATAGAAATAGATAATGGATTTTAGATTAAGTTATTGAAGAAAGGACAAAATGTTCTTTAGGTGTGATCAATGTATTTTTTATTTTATTTTGAGATATGTACCCAATTATTGCACTTCCTCCCAAGACATGTTTCATGAAATGTCATATTGTTTTTCCTTTTTTTCAGAGAGCATCCCGAAGGGAGTAGACCTACCAAAAGCCATAGAAGGGCTGACTGGCAAGATAGATCTACCCACGCTAGAAGACGTTGACGATACAGGTAGATTATGGCAAAGCTTCTTCTCATGCATATCATACTGGCGTTGTCACTTGGTCTTTGTGCTGCTTTATGATCTTTGTGCTGCTTTATTGCTTAAGGCCATAACCAGATTGTTTATTTGCACAACAGCAATGAAAAATTATACATAATACACTAATGATAAATAAAACAGGTGCAGGAGGAGGGAAAAAGCTTATTTAGCTTATGCTAAGCCCTCCTCCTCTATAAAGCTCCCATACTTAATACACTGTACATGGGAGCGGGCCAAAAAAGCTCCTATGCACTGTCTATACTAACCCAAACTAAACATAATTGAATTGAAATAATACATACATAAGGAATTGTTATCAAAATAATTCAAACATGGGCAAAATGATACAATAACAATAATGAAACAATAGTATACATAAATTGAGATGAAATGAAATTGATATGAAATAATACATACATACATAAAGAATTGTTAGCAAAATAATTCAAACATAGGCAAAATGAAACAATAACAATAATGAAACAATTAATAGTATACATAAAATTTAAAAAAATAATAACTGAAGTTATTGATTTCCAGTGGCTAAAGCAACGTGGATCCCTGGAAGCCCAAGTGAGCCTGTTGAAGAGGACGGGGTCACCTATGTTGCATTCACCTTCGACACGGATACAACCGTAGAACAAGTCCGAATTTCCGACGACTCCGTCAAATCCTTCACAATACAAATGTCCCCGACGGGAGAAGAGGGTACTTGGGTTGATGTCAAGTCATTCGATGACGTTGAGCCCCAAGACTTTGGCGGATTTGTGGTCACAAGCCAGTTCGTTAGGATCGCCGTTACGCAAACATATGAAGGGAAAAAGACAACGCTGGTGAAAACGGAATTCCACGGTGCACCAGGTGAATACCAAACACACTAGGGAACATTTATCTCTCAAAATTAAATCCTGGTACATCTGGAAAAGAACATCCAAATATTCATTCCATAAATGTGCTCTATTGGTTTTCAAATACATTTCTAAATATACATGTACATTAAGAGGTGTATTATTTCTCATACAGGCGGTCTGCCCGAAACACCCGACTTTGAAGAAATAACCCCTGAGTCAGCGTCACCACTCCAGGGGCCTGCCGCAGCAAGCCCAGAGGGAGCACCTGGCCCAGAAGGTCCAGAAGAAGGAGGTCCAGAAGGTCCTGAAGGGGCTGGCCCAGAAGGTCCGGAAGGTCCAGAAGAAACTGGCCCAGAAGGTCCGGAAGGTCCAGAAGGAGCTGGTCCAGAGGGTCCAGAAGGTCCGGAGGGGGCTGGCCCAGAAGGTCCAGAAGGAGCTGGTCCGGAAGGTCCGGAAGGTCCTGAAGGAGCTGGTCCAGAAGGTCCGGAAGGTCCAGAAGGAGCTGGTCCAGAAGGTCCAGAAGGAGCTGGTCCGGAAGGTCCAGAAGGTCCAGAAGGAGCTGGTCCGGAAGGTCCAGAAGGAGCTGGTCCAGAGGGTCCGGAAGGTCCAGAAGGCCCGGAGGGGGCTGGCCCAGAGGGTCCGGAAGGTCCAGAAGGAGCTGGTCCAGAAGGTCCAGAAGGTCCAGAAGGAGCTGGTCCAGAAGGTCCAGAAGGAGCTGGCCCAGGAAGGTCCGGAAGGTCCAGAAGGTCCAGAAGGTCCAGGAAGGAGCTGGCCCAGAAGGTCCGGAAAGGTCCAGGAAGGAGCTGGTCCGGAAGGTCCAGAAGGTCCAGAAGGAGCTGGTCCAGAAGGTCCAGAAGGAGCTGGCCCAGAGGTCCGGAAGGTCCAGAAGGAGCTGGCCCAGAGGGTCCGGAAGGTCCAGAGGAGCTGGTCCAGAAGGTCCAGAAGGAGCTGGTCCGGAAGGTCCAGAAGGTCCAGAAGGAGCTGGTCCAGAGGGTCCGGAAGGTCCTGAAGGAGCTGGCCCAGAGGGTCCGGAAGGTCCAGAAGGAGCTGGTCCAGAAGGTCCGGAAGGTCCAGAAGGAGCTGGTCCGGAAGGTCCAGAAGGAGCTGGTCCGGAAGGTCCAGAAGGTCCGGAAGGCCCAGAAGGTCCAGAAGGAGCTGGTCCAGAGGGTCCGGAAGGTCCAGAAGGAGCTGGTCCAGAGGGTCCGGAAGGAGCTGGTCCGGAAGGTCCGGAAGGTCCAGAAGGAGCTGGTCCGGAAGGTCCAGAAGGTCCAGAAGGAGCTGGTCCAGAAGGTCCAGAAGGCCCAGAAGGAACTGGCCCAGAGGGTCCGGAAGGTCCAGAAGGAGCCGGTCCAGAAGGTCCAGAAGGAGCCGGTCCAGAAGGTCCAGAAGGAGCTGGCCCAGAGGGTCCGGAAGGTCCAGAAGGAGCTGGTCCAGAGAGTCCAGAAGGAGCTGGTCCAGAAGGAGCTGGCCCAGAGGGTCCGGAAGGTCCAGAAGGAGCTGGTCCAAAGGGTCCGGAAGGAGCTGGCCCAGAGGGCCCAGAAGGTCCAGAAGGAGCTGGTCCGGAAGGTCCAGAAGGAGCCGGCCCAGAGGGTCCGGAAGGTCCAGAAGGTCCAGAAGGAGCTGGCCCAGAGGGTCCGGAAGGTCCAGAAGGAGCTGGTCCGGAAGGTCCAGAAGGTCCAGAAGGAGCTGGTCCAGAAGGTCCGGAAGGTCCAGAAGGAGCTGGTCCGGAAGGTCCAGAAGGTGCTGGCCCAGAAGGTCCGGAAGGTCCAGAAGGAGCTGGACCAGAAGGTCCAGAAGGAGCTGGTCCAGAGGGTCCAGAAGGTCCGGAGGGGGCTGGCCCAGAAGGTCCAGAAGGAGCTGGTCCGGAAGGTCCAGAAGGAGCTGGTCCGGAAGGTCCAGAAAGTCCGGAAGGAGCCGGCCCAGAGGGTCCAGAAGGAGCTGGTCCGGAAGAAGGTCCGGAGGAACCTAGTAAGCCAGAGGAACCTACTTTGCCAGAGGGCCCTGATGTCACCATTCTGGCACGTCTTGTTACGATAGGTAATGGCTTTTCTTGTCTTGTTTTTGGATTACTATTGCTGTTTGACGTAACTAAAAATAAAACGTTAGACCTTCATGTTTAATGCCATGTAATAAACTGCCTTTAAACTTAAATTAGATTTGTTCTGTCACAAGACGACAACGGACAAACGCACTTACTATAATTATCTTTAACTCCATTAGTGAAAACCTTCACCTGGATCCAAGAGAAGCCAACGGTTTCCGAGGCATCCGGTACCCCAGAAGTCATAGATGGTGTGACGATGGGTCCAGAACAAGCCTTCGATGGGGCCTTCGATACCTTCTGGAGTCCGTCCGGCTTAGCGATTAATTTTAACCAATGGACAATAGTGATAGACCAGGGTCAGCCAACTACAGTAGACAAGATAAGCATCACTACCACTGGCGATACAGAACACGACGTGACGTCCTTCACTCTGCAAATCCCCGGGGCAGATCCCACGACTTGGGAGAACGTTGCAACCTTTACGACAGTCAGAGCGGGCACAAGGGAGCCACAGGCATTTGAAGGCTTCTTGGTGACGTCTCAGGTTTTCCGTATAGTCATCACAGGAACCACGTCAGGGATGGCTCCCAGAGTGGCGGGAATCAGTTTCCACGGACAGCCAGGTAGACTTTTGTTTATTTGGTTTGCCGTAGAATTTGGGCGTTATTTGTAGACTCATCAGTACATCACAAATTTATCTGCATGTCATTTCATTTATTTATTTATTTTACCAGTATATCACACTCAGGTCTGTGGCCTGTTTTTAGGTGTCCCTTGGCACACTTAAACTCATTAAATAAAACTGAATAGTCGTCGGTTCACTTACGTCAGACGAGATTATGTCTGTAACGAGGGCTATAAATGTTACACATTTTTTGAGCTAACGAAATGCTTGTCTTTTTTTTTTTCAGGAAATCCACTTGCCGAACTGGACCTGAGCAGCATAGATACGACACTCGGAATCCCGTATGCCCAAGTAGTTGGACTAGTGACAGAACGTAAGTTGTCATTTGTTAAGAGACAACTAAATACATTATTGAAGCACCAGCGCCATAGAATCCTTTCTGCAGCCCCATCCATACACTCATGGCATAGCATCCTGACACTTATAATCACATCATTTCAAATTGCTTTGTCACATCTACAATATGTAATACTACTTAGTAAATGCGTCTGTCACGCAAAAAATATAGGCAACACCCTTGCCTCCACTGTTGAACACCTTGCTCAACAACACCTAACCACATCTCTCCTGCTCCAGGGGTCTCACAGATGCACTCCACGGCCACACGTTCATTGCCCAATCAAAAAATTCTGTGCTTCCTCCAGCTGGGCCACACCAAACATTTAATTGTTGTACAGTAACTGTTATACAAATTATTTAAATTGCAGTGTGATTTATTAGATAATGTTATTTGTGTATAACGTTATATCTTGTTCTAACTATTTATTGTTGTTCCTATGTCATATGTCCAGGTATGTGTTAGGTGTGCACGCTATCAGCATCCATGCTGTCTAGTGCACACTTTGTATTGTCATGTTACAATTCTAGATAAATGTCTGATTGCTTATTTCTATCTGCAGTGTCATCCGCCCAATTCCACCGGCTGGCAGGGAAACCGGAATGGATACAAGAGGCCACAGCAGACGCAGCTTCTGTTTTTGATGGCACCGATGACACATTCTGGAACCCTGAGGGCTTCGGCAGGTATAAAATTCTTTTTCCATATCTGTTCTTGTAATGCATCATCGTCAATGCAAAATATATGTTTCTAGGTTCTTCAACAGTGAATGCCAATGGAGCAAGGAGCTTCTGCAGCATATAAGTTTGGACGTGCATGACCAGCTACAGAGCGCTACGGGTACACACGTACTGATGGAAATACAGTATTTAACTGTTAATATTAATGGGCATTACACTGCTACTGAATGAAGTTTCAATTTCCCCCTCAAAAGCAATTAGTGAAGTTAACTGCTCTACATTTAGCAAAAAAACTCAAACCCAGACAAGGAAGACCACGTGAAGGTCTCCTTAGTAGCCTTGTCGACGACTGTAAACTTTATCTCAATCATAACATCAGACTCGAATCTCACGTACTGAAATATCTTAGAGACTTGGCAAGAGACAAACGAAGATGGATTGGACTGAACAGAGACATACACTGATTTGGCCTGTCAGTTGTAGTTTGCTAATCGTAGTCTGCTAATATACAGCCAAGAACAGTTCTTTATTATTATTAACTGCTCTACGTACCCACATACATTTGTAATGACATTTCAACTGATTCTTAAATATGTAATTACTGTCTTTATCTGATTTCTCGTTAGATTCTACAACGAGTGGTACCTGAGTTTCGACTTTGGTGAGCCTTACACTATCGACGCGGTCAGCATCCAGAACCAGGGAGACACGGACCACGACGTGAAGACGGCCGTCCTGCAGCTGTCCCAGACCGGCGCGCCCGGCAGCTGGACCGGCATGATCCTGATAGAGTGCGTGGCGGGCAGCTCGGTTCCGCAGACCTTCCGCGGCTTCCTGGGGACGGCACAGTACTGGCGACTCCTGATCACCAGCACGTTCTCCGGGTATCAACCTCAGATCAGGGAGATAGGCTTCACCGGAATGGTCGGTGAGTGACTCTAAAACAGCATCATCATCTTCGCCGCACTCATTTATCTGTCGACGATGCGGGCCTCCACAGCTCTCCACTGTCCTACGTCCTGTGCTGTCCTTCGGGCTCCTTCCCAAGTGATACCCATATCATCTCTTCTAAGTCTCTCATGACAGTTTTTTCCCATTTCATTTGTTGTCCTCCCCTGCTTCTTTTTCCTTGTGGTGCCCAGTTCAGTGCCATCCGGGGGAGGCGCGTTCTTGGCATCCTTGCCACATGGCCTAGCCATCTTACTTGTGCCCTGCGTACCAAGGTAGACAGACTGGGTTGCCCTGTTCTCCTACGGCTCTTAGTAACATGTTGAACAACACAAGGATTGTTTCAACTTGTTTTGTGGTAGACAGTCAGGAGGATTGACTCTGCTTGGTGTTTAACACATAACCTTGTTCTGTAGGTTCGCCTCCAGGAGGAATTGAGGTGAACACTGCGAAGCTCGAATCAACCTCAGGATTCTCTATCGGCGAATGGGTGGAGTCAGTCCAACAAGGTACGGTAGAAACGTTTAACGGACAAAAATATAAAGAACTTTATTGACACAACAAAAGTACAGCGACTTTCGTAAGGTCTTTAGCTACATGTAGACATACAAACAGATACGTGCACGTGGGTACAACAAAATTAACCTATGTACAATACAGTAGATGAATCAAATTATACTACTTGTTCTAATGTCTAATCGTTCTTTGATATATTTGCCTATTTGTACACAGTAGGGGTTATTACCTTATAGAATGAAAGTGCATGAAATATAACAAATTCCGTTGTATATTACTTATGAATAGGTGCTTCGTAACAATAGGGATCAGTTACATGGACTTCAACTGGGCATTGTGTTGGACACATTGAGCTGTACAATCATACATGTATATATATTCTCTTCTTCGCAAGCTCCGAAGAGAACTATGTTTCCCGTCTATTTCACAGACAAACACACACAATTAGGGTAGTGAGCTCACCGTCACGTGATTGTCTGTTCAGCCGACGGGAAACGAGATGTAATGCGGTTGGAAGGATGTGAATCAACTTCACAAGTCAGCAAACAATCTTTTATGAATCTGGATTATCTTGTTGGCAAATACCATTATTCTTATTGTATTCTCTGTTTTCATGTTTAGAAGTACAAACTTTGACCGTGCAAACGAAGAAGGGCGGGAAGTCTTCAGACACAGGTAAGGTTCATCTTAGTGGATTAATCTTAATGATTACTGACAGAAATTTGATTGCAAATAGATGGCCAAGGGCTAATTGCAGATACATATATGAAACGGAAAATACAATGATATGGGAGACTGTGCAAAATTATACTACATTCTACAGCATACGTAGTGCTAGTTTTGCTGGGTTTGACTTCTTCTTTTGAGGCAGTACTAGACGAATTTACTCACTTCGTCTATAATATGTGGGTTCTTTGATTTTAGTAGTAAAATTGTTATCTCTTGGTGGGGGATCGTAAGACGCCCAATTCTGTGCACAATTATAGCACCGAAAATATACGTCACAGAAACACATTTTAAACGATGTTCTTGACATATTTTGACCTAGGTGACGACAAGATACCTGCGGGGATCTGGAGGAACAGTCTGAAGGCCATCCAGGAAGACAAACTTCGGCGCAAAACAGCCGAGTCAGCCGTCGACAACAAGGTCATGAGTGACCTGAACACAATCGACGACATCAAGAAGTCCAAGACGGCAGAAAAGAAGCACGAAACGCATGAAAATAAGCATGAGTCGCATGAAAAGAAGCATGAGGCGCACGAAAAGAAGTCATCAGAAAAGGAACATCATCATCATCATCATCACTAAATGAAATTGTAGTTCATCTGAGTAATAGTAAGATTTTATTATGAAATAAAGACTAAGCTTTAACTTCCAACACTTAGATACAGAATTGGGACTTACCCCATAATTTTCATAATGATTTGTACCAACACAGATGAACTTTCATGCTAAGTAAGATTTTATGTATTTCATAACATTAAAACACCAGTCTCATATAATGTTGTGTTAGTGGGTGTATACGGTGACAATAATTAAGTGATTTTATCTAAAACAGGATACTATGTTTAGCGAAATGTCGAAGTTAATGTATGTGTAACAAGAGAGGTGAAACAATGTGTGTACAGGATACTTTTCCATGTGAGTGTGGTCTATGGTGTGTACCTTAATTATGTTGGTTTCTTGGATCTTCAGAAATATTTATCCCTTTGTAAACACGTTTTGAGACAATTAAGCGACACTTCAGTCAGTCATTTACTAAGTAACTTTGATGATCAATACTTTAGCTTAGCGGTTTGAAAATGTCTGTCTTCAGTACAGAAAGTACAAGACGTTGAAAAACCGATTGCGGATACGCTCATAGCACCCCACTGAACGAAATACGCCAGTACCTATGATTACCATAACATTAGTGTCCTTATCATTTATATTGTACTTGTTCATTTTAATGTTGAATATCTATACTTTACAGATTTTGAAAGTGGTTTAGAAGGTGTAGCTCTCTGAAAATTTTATCTTGCAGGCATATTTTATACACTTTTCTACCTATGGTGATTTAAGCAAATAAAGGACTCAGTGCCATAAGAATTGTACGTATATCATTTGTTCTATGTTCTGCGAGAAAAATCACACCCCTTTTCCGTGCGTAGCACTCGGAACAACAAATTACAAGTGCTGTTACATTGTATGTGCCACTCACAGTGATACAACATAGTGGTCAATTTCATTGTACTCATGCAAATATGATTGGTTGGGCTATGTAACGTTAGTTATGTATCGAGCTCCTTTTCGGGCACATTCCAGCCAAGCTAACAATCTGTATCTGTATAGCCGGTATAACCGCCCTTCGGCGTAACAATCAGGCTTCGAAGGCACGCGGTGCGGCGGCAGCTGGCTACGTTACACCGAACGGCTTGTTACAACTAACCATTGAACATCTAACTGTAGACATTGTTTAAAGCTATCTACTTACTACTGTACTTGGTGACAGCGAGTTCCACTCTGCGATAGTTCGAGGAAAGAATGAATTCTTGAACGCCTCAATCCTTGGTTGATAACTCTGGTACTTGAAGGCATGACTATATCTTGTTCTTGTCTGAGCTGGTATTTGGTGTTTAGTAGTTTTTTTAGATTCCCACATGTAATCACAAGACGTGGTGGGGACACACTCATTTTTTTAAAACTTATATTATTGCCGCCACCAATACAGAGGACAATGCAATACTCATTTTCACCTGAGTAAAGTAAGGAAATTCGTGTAAAGTGTCTTTCCCAAGGGCACAAGATCGGTGGCATGTCAGGACTCGAACCCGGGGACCTCACGCAACTCCACTGCTTAGTAGTTGGTACGTCTGTACCGTCTTTCGCGCCTTTTCCTCAGGTCTTTACCGTGGAATCCGCAGGGCCCAGTTCAATGTCGTCCTTCTTGTCTCCCTTTTGCTTTTGGAGAGGCCATGATAGGAGGTCCACGATGAACTCGAAAAATTCGAGAACCGTCATCACGGAAACCCCCATCCACAGCCCCAGTTGGCCACCGATGTCGCCAAGGAGGTTTATTACCTGAAGACATTCAAAACAAAAATATTTACAGAATATTTTTTATAATCAGTACTTTAGCTTAGTGTGAAAATATCCGTCTCGAGTACTCGTACAGAAAGTACATGGCGTTGACACTTGGTGCTTGCAACGTGCACACTAGGTCGTTAAAGGCATCCAATGTAGTTTTTAGGGCTTGGAAACCCGAGTTTTCAAAGTCAATATTCTAGTCACTTATCTAGACATACTGAGTTGAAACCCCCCTATCCCAATGTATATTGACCCTCGTGGAGCAAAAATGCCCAAAATTCAGACGGAAAATAGTTACTAGAAGGGCCCCGGGCTGATTTTTAGGATACCACCCAGAAAATAAAGTATTCACCATTGGGCTTGTTTCTGCAGTCTGAAATACCCAAAGTATGAAATATTTTTAAAATGTGTTAATGTGAAGCAGTATGTATCGATATCATTAAGATTGCCTTATTCCGAATATTTCCAGTTTTGCTGTTTTGAAATCGTATTGGATGCCTTTAAAAGGACAATAAACCGACGGGGGTACCAAGTGTGGTAGTATGTGTAACATCGTATACGGAATAACGGGTACCTCATATGCCGGGCTTTGCGAAATCTTGTCGTAATGCAGACCCTCGAAGTAGATGGTGAGCTCCACAAAATTCAATCTGCGGACAGAAAGGTCAAGTTAAAGCTGCTAGGACCAGAGAATTCACATCCGGAAAGCTTAAATTAATGGAAGAATATTGTGCTGTGAGGCCTACGTACTGCTATACATTATAGTTGATCTCTTTAGCGAAAAGACGTTGGGGTGTTTGGTAGGCACCCCCATTGTTTTGCTGTAATAGTTGAGAAGACATGAGCTGAATGGGCAAAGTCTATGATGAAGTAAGGCCACAACAAGTAAATTTTAAGGATGACATCTTCGCAGACTCCAAATCTAATGCGAGCGGGCGAAAAAAAAACAAGGCGGTCCGAAAAATACAAGGTTCCTACATTTTAAATTTTTTTACTCCATGGTTTTGATTCAGTGGGTACATCACATATACACAGTCAGCATCACATGTCACTGCATCAAAGTAAGAAACAAAACATTAAATCAGAGCCTTGTGTACACATGTCTTCTCTCTTCATAGTTATCTGCCATCCACGTTCCGGCATGGCAGCAGACATCTTTGCCCATTTTCGGCATGTTGCCCACTGTCGGAAGGTAACAAAATTTCTTGTTTTTTTCTCCAAAATCTGCCGAAAATTCATGCCCGCGCTGATGTCATCCATAAAATTGACTTGCTGTGGCCTAATAAGTAAACCCATGGCGCAAACATCTACCTCGCGTCTGTCCCTGTCATCTTCTGAATCTTGGGGTTGTCATTCTTCTTTAGGTCTTCGATAAATTGTTCCTGAGGATGGAAAGTTTTTAATCAGCAATGGCAAAGAAAAGAACTCCAATTTTACTATGTAGCCTTTTTATAACACCGACAGCCTGTCGTGGAGACTTGTCGTCGCTATGAGGCGCTCCTACCTCATACATCTTTATGAAACTTAGATCTTGTATTAAGAAAGCGCGTTCATTACATAACGCCGCAGCTAATTTCCGTCTCGTAAACGGTCGTCGCCTTTTGAAACGGTCGATGCCATATCGCAGAACGGCTAACTTTCAGTGTATCAGCAAGGTCCCTAGATAGCCACACCGTGATGTTTTGTGGCGTAGAGGTTAGGGTATAGGTGTTCATCATAGGTTGGGGTTTTGGAGCTACACTTTTAGACCCGGGTTCGAATCCGAGCTTGTGCTTTTTTTTTTCACTAATATTTACAAATACAATTCTACATGACCCTTCCCTATGTTTGCAATTAGAATATTGCTTTTTATAGTATATATTACTTTTTATTCGTTTTTGGACCTCAAAAAAGTTATGGTACGCTCGGATATGGCACCGACCATTCAGGGAAATGGCATCGACTATTTCAAATGGCATCGACCGTTTACGAGACGGAAAAATGCTTCGCCTCATCAGCTGAAGTCTGCCGAAGAGTGACTGAGGGCTTCCGATAGTCTCCAAATTCTATATCGAGGTGAGTAAATACAGGTATGCCTGCACTGGAACATAGTAACTTTGCATAGTAACAGGAATATGTGGGGAGGGGGGCAGAAACACATAGCCTTCAACAATATCAGTTTTCTCTTCTCCTAAATCAAAAGAGTGTCTCGTGGTTTCCTTGTTTCGCCCTTGTTCCGTTATCTTATATTTAAGGATATTTCATTATTATATTAGTGTACTTTTGTGACACCAAAAAGCAAACCTTACAGCAGGGATGAGACTCCCTGAATTGCCAAAAGTTTTGCGTACACAAATTACAAAGGACGAGACAGGCGATCCGTATCTGTATCTGTATTAGTATAGCCGGTATAACCACCCTTCGGCGTAACACACCAGCTTCTGTATCTGTATAGCCGGTATAACCACCCTTCGGCGTAACACAACAGCTTCTGTATCTGTATAGCCGGTATAACCACCCTTCGGCGTAACACATCAGCTTCTGTATCTGTATAGCCGGTATAACCACCCTTCGGCGTAACACACCAGCTTCTGTATCTGTATAGCCGGTATAACCACCCTTCGGCGTAACACACCAGCTTCGCAGGCACGCGGCGCGGCGGCAGCTAGCTACATTACACCGAACAACGAGGCGATATATACATCCCTCATATACATTATAATACATTATTTTTATACCAAGCAAACCTTCAGAATTTTGTACAGATGAGCTTTAGGAAACATAAAGCTTGACTTATGACAGTTCTTGGTTAATATCAAAGAGATATAAACCCACACTATGTAGAAGAAGATGTTGATAACAGCTGGTAGCAATGACGTTACAGAAATGTAAACACCACCTGTTGGTATTGAAACCTACCTGATAGGTAGCAGACGGAAGTTCTGAGAATCCAAAGGTTTGTCCAAAAACACTCTCCCTGAAACAAAAATGTACAGCATCTTTAGGTGCTTTAATTCCTTCATATACGTTCATATACGTTCAATATTACATTATTCATCTAATAATCAGTACCAGAAAGCGATTAAATCCTCACTTGCAGGCCTCGGGACAGTCACAGTCCAGTAAGTTCTTACGAAGTGCATCTCTGGTCTCCTTTAGGCACTCTGCTGTCCTCCCTATCGGTATAGATCAAAGACTGAATAATCATTGATAAACTTCAGATATCTCCACAACACAGGAAAGATGAGACAAAATGCTGGTTACAACGTACATGTATGGAATAGATAAGCGAGTAAGTGAGGGATTGCGTAGGTGAGTGAGCGAGTGAGTGAGTGAGTGAGTGAGTGAGTGAGTGAGTGAGTGAGTGAGTGAGCGAGTGAGTGGGTTAGTGATTGGGTGGGTTTGTGTGTGTGTGTCTAAGTGCCTGCGTGACTACGTATTATACCTAAGTGAATGAGTGAGGGAATGAGTGAGTACCTAAGTGAATGAGTGAGTGCGTGAATCAGTGAGTGAGTGAGTGAGTGAGTGAGTGAATGAGTGAGTGAGTGAGTGAGTGAGTGAGTGGATGAGTGAATGCTATTCATAACATACGAACACTGAACATACTATACTTACTAACAGCGGGGTCGCACACCGCGGTCCCTTCCGGAATGGGCAGCCCGGCGTCCGCGCACAGACAGCCCCGCACGACGGCGCGCTGGTAGCAGGTCTTCTGACACAGTACCGGGCTGTAGGCGTGCCTGCTGCCGTACAGGTCGTAACTCTTCCCGGTACCGTCCGTGCAGGTCCCGTAATTCCCACCCAGTCGCTCGATTTCTGTCTGAAGAAACAGTAATTATCTTTTCGTCCCTGCAGTTCCAGAACAAATTGCTAGGGGCCCAAACCCATGTAACTTCTTCATGAAGCACAAAAGCTATCTACCATCCGAAATTCGTGTTCCAACCATGTCCAGATCACGATATCAAAACCATAACCAGCCGCTAGGAGCCCAAAATCTTGTCATTTTGAGGTTTCATTACGACCTACTTCGTTATCGAAGTTTCATGACAATACACCCATAGCTTCCAGTCGCTCGTTTTCTATCTGAACAGAGCAGCAAAACTGGAAACATTCTGACTAAGGCAATCTTTATGATATTGACACATACAGATTCACATTAGCACATTTGAGTCAACATTTCAGACTTTGGGTATTTCAAACCGCAGAAACAAGCCCCAAGATAAGTCCTTTATTTTCTGGGCGGTACCTTAAATCCTTGGACTGAGAAGCCATATGAGGTCACACACCCCGTGAACGAGGACACTAACAGTCTTAATAGCTTCTTCGATGACGAAGGACTACTAAGACCCTAAAATAAGCCCAGGGCCCTTCCAGTAAGTAACTATTTTCCGTCAGAATTTTTTGTATATTTGCTCGACGAGGGTCAATATACATTGGGATAGTAAGAAACAGTATTACCTTTCAGCTTTCCGTCCCTGCAGTTTCTGAACAAGCTGCTAGGGGGCCAAAACTCATGTTGCTTCTTTACGAGCACAAAAGCTATCTACCATCCGAAATTCGTGACCCTAAGACTTGATTATTTATCACATTTATTTAGTTGAGATAGGAATTTCAAATCGAAACCCGTGATAACTAGAAGGAGAATTTTGTTCTCTATTTAGTGAATTAATGAGATAGCGATCCTCTATTTCATTAATTCACTAGGAAAATGTTTTGTTTTTATCTAGTGAATTAATGGGATAGCATCCCCTTATCTCATTAATTCACTAGAAGGAGAATTTTGTTCTCTGTTTAGTGAATTAATGAGATAGCGACCCTCTATCTCATTAATTCACTAGAAGAATCTCTAGAAGGAGAATCTGTATTTATCTGTATGTAGTGATACGTTTAAGACAACCGTTATCACGTGTGAAAGTAGTTCTCACGGGTTTCGACTAAAATTGTTTTTTGAATTTAAAAAAAAATGAGATAAATAGCTGAAGCTTGACCCAACCATGTCCAGATTACGATGTCAAAACCGAAAGTTCCGCTGCAGTACCATGACAAGCCGCTAGGAGCCCAAAATCTGATAATTTTGAGGTCTCATTAAGACCTACTCGCTTAAAAAGTTTCATGACAATCCATCCATGTCTTCTTCTTAAGTCATTGTGCCAAAACACCATACCTGTGGACACATTTCTGTACAATGCCTAGAATTCTTGCAAACTGCATACGACCAATATACCTTTAGGCTCGCCCCTGAGGCGTCACAAAAATCACAGAAGGCACAGCTCACCAGTTTAAGCCCTACGGAAGAGCTGAAGCCAGGAGCGACCGAAAACCCCGCCTGTGCCGGGAAGGGCCGCTCGGCCTGGGTGTTGATGAGAACGCGGACCCCTGATGTCTCCGTTAGAACGGGCACGTACTCATCCTGCTCCACGTACAAAAGCACTTGTAGACCTGGGATTCAAAATATATATATTTGAAAGAAGATATTTGTTGACTATTGAGTTCCTTTCCCATTGTAAGACATTGCGGTTAGCAACCCTGAGGCCATGTTGATTTGATTATATGGATGACATCCTCCGGAAGCCCCAAAACTGATGCGCGCGTGCGAATAAAAAAAGTTTTGCAAAAAAAAAAAAAGTTATTTTCATTATGAAATCTACGTGGTCATGAGGGTTGAGCAAATGGCACAGAATATGGTTTGGCGAATAATCTAGTCTTCAAGTTCATTTCTTTACAATTTCGTCTTTTTTCGTTTGATTTTGGCATTCTACGACATTGGTATAGTTTTTATTAATTTTTTTGTAACTTATGGTATATTTTTGCTCATTTTGCAACTGTTTTGTACGATTTACAGTATGGTTGAAAACTTTCTTTTTTGGAAACGGCCGAAAATTCATGCGCGCGCGGATGTCATCCATATAATCAAATCAACATGGCCTAATGGTAGATATTAAGGAAATATCAAATCTTCATTTCAACTGATGCTATTTTCTATTGTAGTCGCGGGGGGGAGCAACGTAATAAATCGTATGGCTTTGAGGCAATAAACTACCCATAAAAATGCATTACTTTATTAGCAATGTTTTTGACGACAGAATTTCGCTCACAAACTACCAAAAATCAGTGACAGAATCATCTCCCTCACGGAGGTAGAAAAGATAGCCTCTACGAGGCTTCGGGAGGCGGCCAGAATGAGTAGAAATTGAACAAATAGAGAGAGATAACATGTCGGGGGAGTTGGTCCGCTAGACAGTACATTTTGCCGGATCGGCATGTTATCTCTCTCTATTTGGCCAATTTCTACTCTTTCCAACCGCCTCCCGAAGCCTGGCCGAAATCACCAAGGAAAAAAACCGTTGAAGCACAAACCGTGTAGTGGCCCAGGTTGGGTGACATTCCGTATAGGAATCCTGGATCCGTTTTTCGTCATTCCCCCATTGAAGGTGAAACAGTTTCCATACTTTTCGTCCAGAAATTGGACGAAATTCCTACGAAAAGAGTAAGAAATGTACTTTATAATACGTATCAAAGAAGCTTAAGAATATTCCTTCATCCGTTATTAAATTATAAAAACAACAGCAACACGGGCAGTGTTTTTTAAAAGTACCATGGGGCCAGACTAGTATCGGGCCGTTAGCCGTTTTCCTTCGGCAGCCAAGAGCCCTACACCCGCCTATCTAAATTAACGCTACGGTGGAGTTGACCCCAAAGGGAGTTGGCCGGCCCTGTATTTTCGGGCTCAACTCCCCCGAGTCGGTAATTTAGATAGGCGGGCGTAGGGCTCTTGGCTGTCGAAGGAAAACGGCTAACGGCCCGATACTAGTCTGGCTCCCAGGGTATGTTCTAACATTTTTTCACTATGTTAGCGATAAATTTGTTAGCTGTAACAATACAACAATGTTGTTTCTACTAGTTAACATTGAAAGTAACATATAATCAATACATCAGCATGAAAGTTCATCTGAGTTGGTAAATAACATTATGAAAAACTCAATTTAAACTGTTCTCCAACTCAAACCGGGACGGGGGGCGATATCGACTTCAGACAACCTTTGACCCTTTGCTGACGCCACGCGTGAGAAAAACAACGTGTCCACAGCATTTGGGTCAGATAGCTGAGGAAGACTGAGTGATTCAGTCGAGAATTCCTGGTGAGTCAAATTTTGAGTTGGAGAACAGTTTAAGTTTTTCATAATATAATCAATACATTGGATAGAAACCTACTTCCGAGAACATGGCCTCCCGTTATAGGTGCACTTCTGGATAAAATCCTTCTTCTGATGACCGAGCTCTTTGCGCTGAGTGTGGTTTTTATGGGCGAGCATTATGGTGAAGTTCTGCTCCACTTCAAAACCTTCGTCATAGTCGTAATAATCATACTCGTATTCGTAGACGTAGTAGTAGTCATCCTCACTGGACTGTAAAAATATGATATCGGTTGTTCTTTCATCCTTAAAGTGATATTAGGTAAGATTTTCACCATTTTAAACATTGTTGTTTTACACATTTTCTTGCGCTATAAGCCTACCTGGGTTCATAATGACATTTGGGGAGTAAAAGATCAACGTCGTTACGCCACAAAGACGTGTTGGCAAACTGCCAATTTTTCGAGAAAATTTTTCTTATGTATATTTACACTTTTGACTCAAAAATCTTACATAATATCGCTTTAATTCTTGGAATAGTTGACGGGCTACGTCTAGTATGTGAGTATGCGAGCAAGGGTCATGCACGAAACACATTCATGCTATGCCTGAAAACAAATTTAAAACTAGAAAGGCCAATATTTGCTTTGGAGCAAATACAGCGATGGGTTCACCACATTTTACCACATGGCAGGGAAAGAATGAGAAACACAAGGGAAAACAATGATTTACATTGATATAACTATAATATGAAGTAACATACAACTAAAACAACAGTTGGATAGCTATTCCCTACTTTATTGGTTAGGATTTTTAATAGCATAATGCAAACTGTTGATTTTCAAAATAAAAAAAACGTTCATGCCCCGCATTCCAATGCTGGAGCAGAAAAGCTTGAAATACCTACCAAAACACTTGAATAAAGACATACTGTCAGTATGGAAATGCTCTGTGCAGGTGTTAATCAAGTTAAATCCCAACAGCCAATCAGCAAGAAATGCTCTGTGCAGGTGGAAATGCTCTGTGCAGGTGTTAATCAAGTTAAATCCCAACAGCCAATCAGCAAGAAGTATAGAGGAAAGCTGCATGCCTATTGGTTGATGCCCTGCATTCCATTGTGATGACTCATGCCCAGACGTGGTAAACACGGCGCACTAACACAGTAATACATTTGCTATAACACAGCCAAAAAACTCAAATAAAACCATTCTAAAAGCCTGTATCACAAAAATTTAAAAAACGCCTAGGGGTATTTGCCCACTGTACCTCCATACCAAATTTCAGGACCTTAGGCCCTAAAATGAAGAAGCTGAATCCATTTAAAAAATGGCAGGAGAAGAAGGAGAAGGAGAAGGAGAAGAAACGTCAGAAAAAGCAATATGGGTTCACCACCACTTCGTGGTGTGGTGAACCCATAAAAATGTTAGACGATGGTAACGGCTGGTGAAACATTACAAATTGAAGCTTAGTTCTGCTACAGCTACAGCTCATTCAGTGTGTGGATTATGTTGAAATCATACCTATTAAAAGCCACAGCAAGTAAATTTTATGGGCGACATCCTCCGCAGACTCCAAATCTAATGCGAGCGGGCGAAAAAAACAAGGCGGGCCGAAAAAAACAAGGTTCCTACTATTTAAAATTTTTACTGAATCATTGTACAAATGGTTTTGATTCAGTGGGAGCATCATATACACAGCCAACATCACATATCAATGCATCAAAGTAAGAAACAAAACATTAAATCTGAGCCTTTTCTTGTATCCTCTCTTTATAGTTATCTGCCATCCACCTTCCGGCATGGCAACAGACATCTTTGCCCATTTTTGGCATGTTGACCACTGTCAGAAGGCAACAAAGTTTCTTGTTGTTTTTTTTTCAAAATCAGACGAAAATTAATGCACGTGCTGATGTCATCCATAAAAATTACTTGCTATGACCTAACTTTAAATTCATCGTGTCAATTTTTCCCCATTACGAAACAAGATATTGCTTACTTAGACTGTAGATATGGTATTGTCTGCTGTTCAGGTTGTATTTTGGAGAGGAGCCAAACTGGTTTGTTTCTACACTGCCGAGAATCTGCCTCACTGAATAATTTATTACGGGCAATAAATCAAGGACACGTTTCAGGACAAAGAAACGCTGGCATGTCTGAAATATTGTCAGAGTGATGCAAAGTGACATGTCAGGAACCGAAAGGTCACAACAGAATAAAGGCGTTGAAGAGACCCCGTGACATCGAGGTCAGATATCAGGAAGTCTGCATTTTTGGCGACGTGTCGGGGAGGAGCCTAATGGTACAGTATTGTGTGCAGTTTGCAAGAATTCTAAGAATGGTACAGGCATTTTGTCCACAGGCATGGAATGTCCACAGGCATTTCTCTGATCCACATCTATGCCCACATTCCTGGAACTCTTGGGAAGACCTGTCTGCCCCGGATGGCCCTACTTTCTATGACCCCGGGCTCGTTCACTAAACACTCAGGGAGGAGTGCACTGTATCTGTCTAGACTTAACAGGTACCAAGGCTTCCTCAAAATCATAAAATGATGGCAGTGCCATGCAAACAATAACCCTAGCTGCAACCACCGTCGCCATGGCAATGTATGTTTTCATTGCCAGCCTTGTTCCTTTTCATCACACATTTTCATTTAAAAAAAGCTTTACTTATGAAGATTTACCAGATTTGTGGAGACCATATTGGCCCAGATTGTAAGGTTTGAACCACTCACACCGGGAAGGACCCCTGCTTTTTTCGAGAAATTCTTACACAACGTGCATGGGGTGTGGTTCTCCCGAAACACTGGACCTCCATTTAACGTCCTATCCGAGGGACGTCCCTAACTGAAGCTAGGTACTCATTTTCACCTGAGTGAAGTGAGGAAAGTCGCTTGAATGATTCCACAGGCTTTCCACATTCAATTTTCAGTTTTCTACTCCAACATTTACTACAAGACATGGCGACGGCACGCTCAAGTTTCCTCAACTTATTTCCATGCCGCCACCAACGCAGACAAACACACGAACGTACGACAGACATACTCATTTTTACCTGTGAAGAAATTCGTGTAAAAAAAAGGTGCCTTTCTCAAGGGCACTAGACCAGTGGCAGGGCACAAGATCGGTGGCATGTCAGAATTAATTCGAAATAGTACATTGCGACTTTTACGACAAGCCGGCACATGCTGGCCTTATTCGGCATTTATGAGTCGGCACTGTACTGAGTTACCATGGACTACGTGTACGGAGGATAGAACCCAGGCCAGAGCCTCGGAGGAGGTATTACTTACAGAGTTAGACTGAGACGTAGTTCCCAGCTCATCAGTTGGTGCAGGGGTAGGCAAGCCATCCTCCCTTTTCTCCCGGACATGTGCATGATCCGGGCCGATTGACGGGGAGACGTTTTCCGGCTCCAGACCCAAGTATTCCCTTAAGACTTTGGGAAGTTTCGAAGCTCGCACCGGATTCACGTTGCAAACAGTGACCGCCGGAAACGGCAGGGACGCAAACTTGATGTCGATGGAAGTGGTAACCGGGTAGGAGAAATATCGCTGTAGCATGAGACTGAAGTTGTACAGGAAGTACACGAACGACGCCAGGAAGATGATGCCCCACACGGCACGGCGAAAGCGCGACTTCGCCGTCACCGTCTTCGGGAGGCCGTGGGCGGTGGTCTCCTCGCGGTAACTGGACCAGAGTCCCGCTGGGGTCTCGCTTGCGGCTAACAAATTAAAATGTGGGAAAATCAGTCGCCATGTAGGTGGAACAACGAATACACTACGTGTATGAACAACAAAACAAAGACATAGCTAGAAGCCACCACAATCAGGCATAGCCTGGTTACCAAACCTATTATATTTCCCGAGTCCTACATCCTCTCCGCAAATAGGTCTGGACCCAGTTGATTCCCAACGTTTTGCGGAGAGGATGTAGGACTCGGGAGCTATAATAGGTTTGGTAACCAGGCTACATCAGGCATACTATGGCGTTAAAGTCCTTCCCACACCACGTGATGCATAGGGCGGCGCCCATCTCAGGTTCAGTTGCCCTTGTGCCACACAAGTGTGCAATCGGGGCCTTAACTTCCATACTCTTTCCAAAATGCCGAGTACTAAGCAGAGAAAGCGACCAATTTTAAAGTCTTTGGTGTGACTCGGCCGGGGATCGAACTCACGTGCACGACCTACCGAATGCAAGGCGAGCACTCTACGCACTTGTTCCTATAAATATAAAAAGTGATAAACTGCAGGGAAAAATGTACGACCAAAGGCAAGGGTATAATTCTGTGGAGATAGAATACTGGAGAAAAGCCAACAAAAATCTACTAGATGAAAGTTAAAGAAACTACGAAAATTCACATGTATAAGTTACGTATTTTACCTAGATATGTATTGTTATGAAAATAGAAATTCCTACCTTTGCTTTCCATCGCACGAGAAGAGAAAAACGAAGTCCGCCCGCTGCAAGCTCTGTTCCGTACAGAAAATAACCAGATTCCTAGCTGGCAATGACGGCAGGGTCCCAAGAGAAGTTCATTCCTGTACAACCCGGGTTCTAAGCCAAATTGATGAGAATTCAATTTGTGGAACGTAAACTTGACTTAGAACCTGGTTAATATCAAATTCAGAGGAATGGCGTCCTCACAGGGCCAGGCCATCATTGATGATAATCTGATTATTTTTTGCTATTGACATACTTAGTGACACGAGGGCAGAATGACACAGGCTAATTTGTTTTTTTTAAGCGACTTGAGGACAAAATTAGGCCGTGTTTATGTGAAGTCACCCAAACCGCGATTCGGGTAACTCCCATTCCTCACATCTGGTCCACGTGCCACACATTCCTTTGAAACCGTGTCCGATCACAATTCGCCTGAGCTACATTTATTGTTGTTTGATGAAAACACACAAGGTAGCGTGTTATTAATGTCAGAGGTTAACGACCTGCTTGCTGATGCCCCCCTCCCAGCGTATCTTGGCCGAATGCCGACGTGGTCCCGCCAGAGGCGGTGAAGCTCGTCCTAGAAAGGACACATTATTTGACCATTACTGCTCTTTATGTTGCTGCCACGTCAAAGTTGGTATTGCATATAAATAAAGAAATATCACCCCGTAATCCATGACCAAGTGAAGTCACATTGAAATCACATTGCGTTCAGACGCAAATTGCGATGCGGGAAAACCGATTCGAAACCACCTCTAGAAGTGGCTTGGGATCGAGGCGCTTTCAATGTGATTTGGAGCGTTCAGATGGAGCCACTTGAAACCGGTTTCGGGGTAAACCACATGTAAAGCGCCTTGGGTGACTTCACTTAAACACGGCCAAATTTACACAGCTAACACCAGCTAATGTAACAGGGCAATGTTGCGTAAGCCGGTGCGGCACATGGATCGTTCTAAATCAAATAAAAGTAAAAGTTTTCCCAAGTTCAAACGGTAATGAATCTATATTAAGGTTCAACTTGTGTCAAATAACAGGAGAAAAGAAATCACTTCGTTCACCAGGAGTTTAGTTGCATCAGTACTTTCACAAACCTCAAATGAACGTTTGAATATAAATCATGAGAAAAGAGTTTTAGGAAAATAAAGTGAACTAGAAAGGTAACATTTGCAAAGCAAATGCAAAATGTTTACCTTCGAATCTGTTAATTCGTACTCAAACACATTCCTATATATGGTCAGGCAAGAGTCTAAATCCATCCTGCTATAAAATTGCAACATGATGTAACCCACCACTAGTTACCATGGTAACAGTCTGGTTCAGGTCATTGACCTTTTTAGTTTGGAGAAGAAGAAGAGGAAACAGAGGAAATTTTTTTCCTCGGTAAGCATACGTAAGGCCACACCAATTTAATTTGTTGGTTCTCGGATTTTTTCAGAAAAAATATGAAGGTCTAGGCATCCTATTATAGGCTTAAATGCTATGGAATGAGCCATGAAGTCAACACAAAAGGCTGGGTTAAAATTTAAACATTGAATTTTGAACTTTTAATCAAACCACTGCAATGATAGATGGGAAAACTGTAACAACTAGGAAGAAAAGGACTTTCCTCAACTGTTGGGGGCAAAACATGAGCATTTTTCAGTTGATTCAGGACCAGAATCATTTTTTTTTGCAAATCAGAAAAAAACGAAGAGGCGAATCCGAGAACCAACAAATTAAATTGGTGTGACCTAAATATATATTAGATCCTTGTATTAAGTCCCTGGCCCATTTCAATTATCATTAACACCGATAGATTGAATATCATCTCAACAACATTTTGGACTTCTTTATTTTATTTACATCACACGGCCTTTGTTTATCTCTGGTGATTACATAGATAATTAATTAAATTAGCTTCTTATAATGACCATAACTATTATTGTGTATAACCAATATTATCCAAGGGTATGTAAAATTACATATGTGGTTTATATCAATCTATATTTTGCTACATTAAGTCAATCCTTTGATCACGTCGTTTCCTCCCAAGTGTACAAACAAATCAGTTCAAACAAACCGAAACTTAAACTTACAATCACAATTATATTGATAATGATATCTTTACAACTCGTACATATCACTATAGTCAACTATCATATCATGTTGTCAATTAAGTGCAATTCTAGACTGAGCTTCATTGCAACAAAGTAGTCATTTTACACTAAGGCCATGTTGATTTGATTATATGGATGACATCCTCTGGGAACCCCAAAACTGATGCGAGCGTGCGAATAAAAAAAAGTTTGGCTAAAAAAAGTTGTTTTCATTATGAAATCTACGTGGTTTTGAAGGTTGAACAGATGACACAGAATATGGTTTGGCGAATAATCTAGTCTTCAAATTAATTTCTTTACATTTTCGTCTTTTTTGGTTTGATTTTGGCATTCTAAGACAGTGGTATCATTTTTTGCAACTTACGGTATGTCTTTGCTCATTTTGCAACTGTTTTGTACGATTTACAGTATGGTTGAAAACTTTTTTTTTGGAAACGGCCGAAAATTCATGCGTGCGCGGATGTCATCCATATAATCAAATCAACATGGCCTAATATGTAATTTTGAATATACTCATGTACAACACTTCAAATCACAAAGTCTAGGAGGAAAAACCTTAATAACATAACAGCTAATCAGTTGATATATGTAAATTCCTGGTTCCGTAGATAATAATAACACATTAACTAGATATAATCACGATCAAATTACGGCTTCTTATTACATACATTCTCAGTAAGAGGATGAAATTGTACAGTCATCAATTCTGTCAACTAAAACGACTCTTAACATCCATTTTTTAAATATATTCTAGCTAAACATGGTGACAGCACTACTTATTTTATACCGCCAAAAACACAGATCATTTTCACTTGGGTTAAGTGAGGAAAAGTCCTGTTAAGTGCCTTTCCTAAGGGTACATTAACAAGATCGGTGCCATTTCCAGACTCGAACCCGGTACCTCTAAGTTCCGAGTCAAGAGACAAGACATGGTGACGGCAAACTCAAGTTTTCAACTGATCATGGTTTTTATGCCGCCACCGACGCAGAGGACAATAGACAATTATTACTATTTACTGTTTTCACTCATTTCACTCTGCCGTTACGCCACACGACCCCACATACATTCCTTGCCTACACCTCGCTTTCATAGGTAGGCACAGTGGCCTCGCCACGGGAAGGCTTCAGATACTTCACCCATTTCCCAGACGGCAGGCGTCTGCCTCCCTTAGCCTTCGGGCGACTCTGGCTCTTCCCTCCGCCCTTCCCGGCTCGTTCCCCCCTGACCAAGGCCGTGGCGCCCAGCATGACCGCCGCCGTCAGGTGGAACATGAGGAACACCGTCGCGCCCGCGAAGCTGAAGACGTACATCGGTCCCAGGATGCCCTTGTTCAGCCCCAGCCAATCCACGTCGTTCTTCTTCCAGAACATGAGCAGCAGGCTGGCGCTGGCGTCGGGCAGGGACTTGTACCCTCGCAGGTAAGGGCTGAACAGGAGCGTCCCTGCAAAGAATTCAAAGGAAATGTTGCATTCGTAACAGTGTCTGATTATGGAGTTACACACCAAGTCTCATGTTTCTTTCGGATGGAGTCCAAGAATTGAAGTTACGCGTTTCTTTTTTTTTCAATTACAACACTTAATGACAGGGATTGGTGACGATACACTCAAGTTTTCAGCGTGTTTCCATCTTGTGTTAAGTGATGAAAGGCATGTAGAGTGCCGAGGCCGAGGGCAGGCATTGTAGGATTCGAACCCGGGAAGCCACAACATCCCAGTTACACGTCTCATCCATGACATCGCGCTTGAGCATCGCAAACACCCGTGCTGCAAGACCGCTACTGACTCAGACTCACCTAACATGCTGTATCCTGCGATGAGCATCAGGAATATGATCAGGCATCCCAGCATATGCCCTGCCCAGAGACGAACGTTATCTGGCAAGGAAGAAAACACATTAATCAATTAGTAGGGCATGAAGTATTTGATGCTAATGCTTAGGTCACATTTGAAACGGCGCCCGTTCGGCATGTCCTCGGCGTAGACGCCGGCCGGCGTCATGACGCCGAGCGTGCGCCGTACTGTCAGGGTCACAATTAAATGTTTCTTTACGGCTCCCTGTCGGGGCCTGCTTGTGCTCCGGCCGGCGGCTCTCATTAATATTCATAAACTTTTGCGGCCGGTTTCTGTCAGGGACCCGTCCGGTGCCCGGTCAGTCGCCCGCCTTGACCCGTGCGGCGTGTGGTAGGGTGCCGACCGGCTCTTACAGTTCGGCCGGGCAGCTGTCAGGTCCCTGGCGGGTTCCTGGCGGGATCCCGACGGGCTCCTCTCGTGTTTTTGAGCAGGTACATATATAAGCGCTGCACTGCCTGCTACCGTTCACTTCAAGTAAAGAGTACACGTCAAGTAAAGAGTAGACTGAAGTTGGCGATGCAGCGTTCAGTGCAACATGCAAACAACTTACAAGCCCGTCTGAGATTGAGATTGGTGACAACCCACATGTAGGTCTTCTGGCATTGGTAGCTGAAGAAGAGAGGCAGGCAGAACTGGTGCGTCGCAAAAGTAACTGAGGGCCTACTTTCGAAAGTACTTCAACAGTGACGCAGGAAGTACTTCAGCAGTGACGCAGGAAGTGTACCGTGGCAACTCCTTGCTATTGAGCAATAAAACCACTGAATATCGTTACTTCTCTTGAAATTTGGACTGAAAATAAATGCCAATAACTTCTGATTCCATTTTATTACGAAGGCATATGATGTAACAAGAGATAATGTCAGACACATTCTATTCCTGTAATGATCTGTTTTATGAAGTTGGCAAGAGAGCCGTGCCGGCTGTTTTCCCTTGCCCTTCGACATTCTGACACACAAATACAAGGTGTAACACACACAAGTACACGATGTAACACACACGTGGTGAACTGTGCGACGTAGTCTGAGGCAGGAGTTTATATATGCTCCCTATAACCCCCTTTTCCTGACCAGCTGATGCACTGATCAGCACATGTGACGTCATAATCTTAGGCAGGTGCCTGTTCGGCCGCCCGACGGGTCCCGGGCAGTGAGGTTACGGCGTCGCTTCGGCGTATTTCGCCGAACGGGGCCCGAAGTGTTTTTAACTCTGAGTTAAAATCGATTCGGCGACCGTGCGGGGCCAAAAATAGGCCGGCAGCCGTCGGGAAGCCCGCCGGTCTCCGTCCAGGTCCCGTTCGGTAGTGCCAAAAAACACGCCGAACACGCGCCGAGCGGGCCCCTTTCTTGAATTGTGACCTAAGCATAAAGCACAGTTTCAAAGACTCCAATGAGCTTAATATTATTGTTTAAATAGTAATATGTGTAAAAGTTAAAACATATAGTCAGCCTGCATAGTGCCAACACGTCATAGTTCTCATCATTATGCTGGAGTCACATTTCCGACGGGGCCCGCGCGGCATGTTCCCGATCCTGACGCCGGCTGTCATGGTCACAATTAGGTCACTGCTTCGTCTCGGGGCCCGGGGTGATTTTATGTTCGAGTTAAAAAAATCAAATCGGCACCCGCACGGTGTCAAAAAAAAGGCCGACGGGGCCCCGTCCAATAGCGCAAAAAACAGCCCATCGGAGCGCCGCGCAGTTCCCGATTTTGAATTGTGACCTAGGCATTACCTGAGAAGAACTCTATGCGTGCGCTGATCTGGTCCAGGAAGCGGCAGAGCCTCAGCGTGGTGAAGCAGACCAGGGCGGCCACGGCGTTCACGAAGTACTCGTTCACCTGGGCGGCCTGATCCAGGTCTATGAAGCTTCTGTCCACTGTAGCAAAAATAACAATGATCGTAAACAATACTTTACGGGAATCAAATCCAACGTCAGCCAATATTACAGTATAGGTTTGTCGTACTCGACCTTCCTTTCTCTAAAGCCGGCGTCACACTTTCAACGACCTACGACTGCATTTGTGAATCGCCTAGCTGAAAGTTTTCGAATTTCAATATTACCAGAGAGTTGAGCGTATTTTTTTTGCTTTGCTGTATTGGATGGGTTCTGTGACCTCGGCCGCTCTATAAGTGATCGAGAGGACACGAGCTAGCCGTATTATCACTGAATGAAAATGCCATTTTAGAGCACCAAGACTTTCCTGCTGTATGGCATCGGCTTATGCTTAGGTCCCAATTGAAAAAAAGGGCTTTGCCGCGGGTAGCTATAGTTCCCGGGGTGTTTTTTTTTCGGCACTTTAAGGCGTGACCGCGTGGGACAGCCGGGCTATTTTTCGGCCCGGCCGGGACCCGAGAAGAATTTAGTTCTGACTTAAATTCTACCCGGGCCCCGCTGACAAAAAGACGCCGAGACCTAACCATAAGAACACCGAGAGGTACCCCTTCGGTTGTCGGCAGTCCACCGGGACCGTCACCGACTAGCCACGGGGACCGGCCGGGACTATATCCCCGACGGGCACCGGCGCAATCGGGACCCTACACTTTGCACTTGAAACGACGTACCTTGGTTACGCTGCTGGTGAATCCTGCTCTCCGTCTGTTGCTTGATGACGACTTTGGCCACATCCAAAGCGATGACCACGAGCGAGGCAAACAGGGAAGCCACCTCCAACAGGTTGTCATAGTTGCTGAAGAACAGTTTCCCCTCCTTCTTCCCCGTCTTGTACAGGTTGAAGGCCAGGTAGATGACGCAGCCGACGAAGCCAGCCTTTGAGAGGAACACCACGGTCGCATACACCCCCTTGTTGTTGATGGTCTTGAACGAATTCGCCGAGAATCTTGCGGCCACGTCGCCCGTCGGTAGAAACTTGTACGCGAGCCTCAGCGCGTGAAACATCGACGCGTCCGCGTTGTAGAGGGAGAAGTCGACTTGCACGGTGGACGTCAGCCTGTCCAGCCAATGCCCCCGAATCATCGCGGTCAAGACTGACCTCATCTGGGCCGGGTCTTCTCCGAGGTCCACGGTGTACCCGCCGCGCCCGTACGAGGTGGTCGCCTTGTGCAGCGCGGATGCGGTGACATTGGTGAAGAAGTTGCCGCCGTGTCGGAAGCTGTCGTGCCAGGGCAGCAGGCATCTCTTGGTCAGGTGGATGAGCGCGGGCTTCGTCACAGTACAGGGTTCTGTAAAGACAAAGTTTATACATGTAGCAAAATACTATCAAAAAGCCATCTTGTGAAGTAGAAATGTAACATTTGCAAATCAAATGCATAATGTTTACCTTCGCATATGGTCTGCTCTGATAATTCTTACTCAAACACATTCATATACATATTTGTATTATGTTTTATGAGCAACAGATTCACATAAGCACTACAAGTGCTTCCTATCCAATGCTCAAAAATCCATGTGAATAAAATAAAATAAAAATATACATATGGTGACATGAATCTAAATCCCTTCTGCTATAAAACTGCAACATGATGTAGCCCAACACTAGTTACCATGGTGACAGACGTCTGGTTCAGGTCATTGACCTTAATTTGTTTAGAGAAGAAGAGGAAGAAGAAACAGAGCAAAAACAATATGCTACCTTCTACGAACTTAAACATAATGAAAAGGGCAGCATCAGCAGCCAGAAGTTAAACTTTGGATTACAAAAAAAAGTAATGTACCTGTTTCGGCCCTCCATTGTTGAATCCGAACGGGACCGAGGCGATATGCCCGCACATCATGGATGAAAACCCGCTCCTCCCAGCTGATCGTTCCGCCGTTGTACTCTGTCTCCGGGTACAGGTTATCTGTGAACGCTGCCCTCATCCACAGAAGGATGTCCTCCCGTTTTTGGACCTAGACATCAAGACATACATTTGACATGTCAACAAGGAAGTCGTGGGGTCCCGAGTTTGAACCCTGCCATGCCACCATCTTGTGCCGGCGCCCTTGGAAAAGGCGCTTTACACGACTTTCCTCACTTAACTCAAGTGAAAATGAGTATTGTCTTGTCCTGTATTTGCCCTCTGCGTTGGTGGTGGTATATAATAAGTTGAGTGTGCTGTCAACACGTCTAGTCATGAAATGTTCGAATTAATATTAAAAAAAACAAGGAACTTCTCCGAAGTCTGATAATCAATGATAGCAAATTTCTCAAGTTTTCATGCCGCCGAATCAGGGATTTTGCTATTTCTTAAAATGAACGTATTAAACCAAGAGCACTCCAAGAGAACCGGAGAGTCAGCGAGTGTGTCATACATATGACGAAGGTTGACGAGATCGAAAATTTATGGTGAGTTCCTTCTTGTGTTGGAACAAAGCTTTAACTCAATAACTATGGATTCTACCATCTTAAGTCCATTATTCTACAACACTATATGAGTTTTCATTCGAAAACCTAGAACACGTTTACGCTTACCTTGTCAAAGCCATCGACAAGCTGTCCCTTCATGTCGTGATGTGCGTGGTAGGCCGTCGGCTCCCAAGTTTCGTTGACAACCATCAGGGCGAAGATGACGTACAGAATGTACGCCACGAACTGCTTCCCGAACCGCAGCAGCTTGTCCTTCTTCCGTTTCTGCTTGCGCTGTTTGGCGACGTCCACGCGGGCGGTGGCGGTGTCCTTTGACTCTTCGCTATCCTTGCTTGAGGTGTCAGCGACAGGCTCTGCATAGGAAACACAGAAAAAATACGATGAGTTTTAAAATGCCAACCCTCAATGTGTTGATACAGGCCGTACCCGACCGTTTAATCGATACAATGTACACACTTGTTTCACAAAAATTATCTATGCACTGCTCTTATAATACTAAGTAACCGGTGCATTGGCCAAGTGGGTAGAGTGCTCGCCTTGCATTCGGTAGGTCGTGAGTTCGCTCCCGGCATACCAAAGACTATAAAAATGGTACATATTGTTTTCTCTGCACTATTTTCTTAGCACTCAGCATTTGGGAGTTGAACACACACCAGTGCCAGTGGACTAGCCCCCTGCTGTAGTTATTGCAGAATTGTGTGGCTCAGGGGCTACTGAACTGGAGATGGGCTCCACCCTAAGGCTAAGGACAAATTAAACTCTTATAATTGCGTATAAACGTGTACACGCAGCAGGCATAGCCATAGGTATAGCTATAGCCAAAATCGGCTTACCAGAAGCAGGCACGTTGTGCTCGGGCTCAGGCGACCCGCCTGTAGTAAAGATGAGCTCGTCCATCATCATGTCCCCCGGTCCCTGGCTCACCCGCCGGCGGCACAGGATGGTCATCACCAGCACCACAAAAACCGCCTGGAAAACAAGGATTGTATCTGTTGGAATTCGATCAAAAACTTGTGTGAAAACTTGTGGGGTCGACTCAGAACCAAGAGGTCAGGGGTTCGAATTCTGACACGTCACAGAGTGCCCTTGATAAAGACTTAGCTCACTATACTCAGGTGGAAATGAGAACCTAGATTCGGTTAGGGACGTTCCTAGGACAGGACGTTAAATGAGGTCCCGTGTCTGGGGAGAGCCACACTCCACGCACGTTAAAAAAACACGGTAGAGTAGGGCATGCCCTGGTGTGCGATTGTCCACTAACTCGAAGTTACCCAAATGAAGGCCTTGCAAACGTATTAGCATATGAAATGAAATATTATCATGAAAGTTCATCTGTGTTGGTAGTTACATGTTTAAAGTTAAGACTTTTGGTCCAACACAAGAAATTCTCTCACCTAGAGCTTTCGACCAGTCACTGTGGTCTTCCTCAGTAGACTGACCCAGTGACAACGTGACAAGCTTCACTGGGTCAGTCTACTGAGGAAGACCAGAGTGACTGGTCGAAAGCTCTAGGTGAGAGAATTTTTTGTGTTGGACCAAAAGTCTTAACTTTAAACACGTATTAGCATATTAGTCATATTAGCCACACGGTAATGATTTACGCATGGTCTCCAGGAAGAATAGTGTAAATTGGCACACTAACCAACCAACCAACCAACCAACCAACCAACCAACCAACCAACCAACCAACCAAACTAAACCAAACTAAAACTTACCTTCCCAGGATGTACGATAAACATGGAGTGGCCGAAGGAGAGCCCGAAGGTGGTGAGCCACTGGATGGACTTGTCGTTGCCCCACTCCATACTGTACAGGACGAGGAAGAACGCCGAGGCCAGGCTGGCCAGGAACAGCATTGCCCAGGCCAGGTAGATGAACCAGTGCGGCATCATGGACGCCCTCCACTTCTTCCTCACCTGGTACTTCGCGGACTTGGGATTTTCTCCCGCTGGGTCCACGCCTTCCTGTTTGTGTCAGAGAAACAGATATACACATTTTTTTCTATTCCAACATTTATCACAAGACATGACGACGGTACACCCAAGTTTCTTCAACTTAATTTTATGCCGCCACCAACATAATAGACAAACTCACGGACAACAGACATACTCATTTTCACCTGAGTAAAGTGAGGAAATTTGGGTAACGTGCCTTTCCCTAGGGCACAGGATCGGTGGTATTGCAGGATTCGAACTCAGGACCTCTTGGTTCCGAGCTGAGCTTTGTCTTTACACCACACGACCCCGAAAACTAGCCGAACACCCCCAACTATGGTTAGGTGTAGGTATTGGACAAGGTTGGCTGGTATTCGGCCAGGTCGGCTACTGTCCGGCTGTACATGCCCCAACCGAAAGTTTTAAAATGTTTAAAACATTCTGGTGTGGACGAGAGGTTTATCCATGTTTGGCTGATGCTTGACATGTGTTCGTGAGTAGATGGTGTCGTGTTTGGGATTCAAATTTGATTTGATTCGTATGGATAGGTAGGCGTGGCCTAAATCTGGTCAGACTGCTCGGGAACATGTTCAGGGGAAGGTTCTAAATGTGTGACAAAAGCTTTAAGTTTTAAACTTTAAATTAAAGTATAGATCACTTGCCTTGTCCTTGGGGCGGCAGCGGCGAAAGATCTGCACGATGGCGAAGTTGACGGGAAAGATTTGAAGAGTGGTGACCACGCTGATCCACAGCTGCTGGGTGGTTATCTGTAACGAATCACGACATTTCTTCATTCCTTTTTATGGCCGAAACAGGCAATGAATTTTGCAGAGAGGGCTGTATGATACGTATTACATCCTTATTGTTGTTGTGGCTAAACAAAGGCCTGAAAATCGTGTGAAATATACAATCTTGGAGAATCTATGTAATAGAAGAGTTACACTCTCATGTCTTAATACGGACTTTGAAATATCAAGGAGGCAGAAAAAACACTCTTAGCCTTGAGTAAAGAGACTCTTCTTACACAACCGAATGTTTTATTCACAGCCGACGTTTCGTTCACCGTCTGTCACCTTCCTCAGGGCAATTCTGACTGGTTCACATTGCACAGCAGCACAGGTGTCCTGTGTCGGTGCCCCGAGGAAGTTGACAAACGGTCACCGAAACGTCGGCTGTGAATAAAACACTTGGTTGTGTAAAAAGAGTCTCTTTACTCAGTGACTTACCGACACTGACTCTTAGCTTTACTGAATGACAGAAAACTGAGAATTGCAAATTCATTGCAAATTCATGCCCGAGGGCTAATTGCATGAACAGAAGAAACATTTGGTATAAAAACAGATAATTAGTACACATAGAACTACTAAGAAACTACTAGTTAAACTACTGGGTTTGACTTCTTTTTTGAAGACAGAGGAAGACAAAGGATCCCACTTTTTCTGTAATTTGTGGGTTTTCGGATGTTAAGAGGAGAGTAGTTTACTTTTCATTTGTATGTGTGTGAAAGTTTGGGTAGAATTTGGAAGCTACGTCAAAGAGTTCATTTCGTTCATTGCTGTAGAGGGTACAATTGGAGATAAAATACGTTTCGGCTTCCACCGTATTCAACGTACAATGTTGATAATGATAGACTGATTAGACTGATTGGCCTTACGTCCACTGGTCCGATAGTGAAGAGAGCGGGAGAAGCGACCTGGCCCGCCGTGCGGAACCACATGGCACTGGCGATCATCTTACAGTACAGCAGGCACAGGCAGCACGACAGGCGCTGGGAGGAGAACACAGAAAATGACTTAAGTATCTATCAGCTATCTTTACGTACTGTTTGCAAGTTAGTGTAGGTATCCAAGATGCCTTTTAAAAATCAAGCCTCTCTCACACATTCAAAAGCTTCTCCTGCACACCAGCCAACCTAGGTTGGTTGAAGTTTGGGCCATGGGAGCAGTCTGGCCAGATTTAGGCTACGCTTACCTTTTCTGTACGAATCGAATCGAATTTGAATTGAATTTAAGTCAAATTTGACTTCCAACCATGCCCCAAACTACTCCCAAACACCAGCCAACCATGGCTGAACATCCTGTCCACACTGGAATGTTTTAAGCATTTTGAAACATTTGGCTGGTGCAGGCGAACAGTAGCCGATCTCGCCGAACATCAGCCGACCCTGCTCCCGACCTACCCCCTAACCATGGTTGGGGAGAGTTCGGCTAGTGCACGGGGGGCCATATTCGGCTATGTGTGACAAACGCCAAATAACAGAACACAACTAAAAAGAGGTTCTAATAAAGCCTAATATTTTAAGTCATCAATTGATAGGCCAAGACCAAAGTGAGATTGAGATACAGATGCGATTAACTCAGGGGTCGAAATACTGGATGCATATGCACCTTAGTGCACCCAATTTTTTTCCTGTGGGTGCACCAGTCCACCCAAATATTTCGTAGGCTTAGGTATGTAAAGATGTTAAATATGTAGTAGTACACATCAGATTCTTAACATCTAGGTGTTAGAAAAATGATAAAATCATTCATTGTAGTACTTTTCTTTAGAAATAAAAAAAAATAAGTTTTTGCTGACATTCTACTTATTTTGTTTTATATGGGGCACCTAAAAAATTTTGTACACCCCATTTTTTTAGGTTGGTTGCACCAGCGCACGTAGCCCCAATAATGAATTTCGAGCCCTGGACAGACCAACCTGCACGCGGGTGAAGTAGCTCCTAGGCCGCCTGGTGCCGACAGACAGCCACAGGTGCCCGTCCGTGAACTTGTTCCTGATGGCCGTCTTGAAGGTCGGGCCGAAGGACAGGTCCATCTCGCTCTGCGCGTGGATGGTGCGGCTGAACTTCCCCGCGGAGTACACCTCATCCAGCCAGTCATCACACATGAACGTGGTCCTGGAGATTGCAAAGAATCGGGAAATGACAGGATACCAGATATTGTCCGACTTTGTTTGTTTATTGTTTATTTAACCAGAGAAACATATCGCCCTGGAGGGCGGGTTTCAATGCACCCTGGGGGGCAAAACCCCAAACACAATAAAATAATAACAATATAATACAACATAAAGTAATCACTGAAGAAAACTTATGTACAATCAAGGGGCAAATTAAAATAAGCTAACTTAAGCATGAACTTAAGTAACAGAAGAATAAGCGGTCCAAAATAGGCATACAGAATGTAATTGTATTTTGTTGTTTGTTTGTTTGTTTGTTTAGCATAACCGGTAAACCGCCTTTATGCGCCAGTTTTGTACATGTAACTTTGTACACGTACAAGCTGCGTAAGACGTCGACCGGACTGCAAGGTTTGAACCACTCACACCGGGAAGGACCCCTGCTCTTTTCGTTAAGTGTGGTGGGATCTTTAACGTGCTCAATGCGTGGCTCTCGCCCCAAACACGGAACCTCCATTTAACGTTTTATCCCAGGGACGAAGCTCAAGGACTCGATTCCACCTGCTTGAAGTGAGGAAGGCCGTGTAAAGTGCCTTTCCCATGGGCACAAGATCGGTAACATGGTAGGAATCGAACCCACGACCTCTTGGTCCTGAGCCGAACACGCTACAATTTACGCCACATGGCCCCACTTTTAGTTGCTACCTGGCGTGACATGCATAAAACACCCTCTCTGAGAAAACCTTGGTGGAGAATCTGCAGTGTTGTGTTACATATGAAACACCGACGGGGCGAGTACTACTGTCTTTTGGCTCCCAGCTCACCAACCCAGCGCACTATCCGCAAGGCTAAAAGGTCCGGACCAGTCAGCCTGTTCGGTCTGTGGCGCTTGAACCTCACTGTTACAAAAACAAGCACCATTCGATCCATCGGGGCTTGAACGAAAACACTATGATAGTATGGTTACTTAAAAACATTATTTCACCTCTTATTGGTGTCCAGGTGGGTGATGACCACTTTGTGGAGATGCCAGGACGCGTACTGCCCCTCCCCGGAGTTGTCGTGAGACATCTTCAGGCTGATCAGGTCTCCCAGGGGCTGAGACGTCTTCAACAGGAAGTTGTCCGTTCCCGCCATCTCGAACGTCTGAAACAAGCAGCAAATTCTGCGTCAACGTAGGGTGATCTTTTGGAATGCCCGGTGTTTGCCCTCATGTGACTATAACGCAATAGCAATGCATTGTCGGCCATATTGGATAGTTCGAACGCGGGGGTTTATATGCCTGGTACCGGTGTTTGCTCTCACGTGACTATGACGTAATAGCAATACATTGTCGCCCATATTGGATGGTTAAACCTAGGGGTTTATATGGCCGGTGTTTGCCCTCACATGACTATGACGTAATAGTAATGATTTGGCGACCATATTGGACGGTTAAGCCTAGGGGTTTATATGGCCGGTGTTTGCCCTCACGTGACTATGATGTAATAGCAAGGCATTGTCTGCCACATTGGATGGTTAAACCTAGGGGGTTTATATGGCTGGTGTTTGTCCTCACGTGACTACGGCGTAATAGCAATGCATTGTCGGCCATATTGGATGGTTAAACCTGGAGGTTTATGTGGCCCTCCCAGGTTTAAACAACCAGCATGGCGGCAGTGAGGTAACGTACCCTTTCATTCTGCGGCATCTCCCTGACTCCCGAGTCGTATTGGTCACCATATAGGGTAAAGGTGACCTTTGACCGGGTCCCAGCCTCCCAATCATGGCCCGTGTGGACGGTCATGAGGTACTGGCCGGCGTGTGCGTCACTTCCGGGACTGCCAGGGATCTCCTTCACTGCCCACTGAAACACAAAATTGACCTTGACCTTCCTTTTCCCAACCTTATCCTACCTACCAAATATCCCCAAGTTATAACCGATTACAAAATCAGCAACCGCCATACACACGGTGCACCCAACAAGGACATTATACAGTCCTAGGTGTGCCTAAACACATAACCTTCTGACGAAGGTAATAAGTAGTCTCTACCAGGCTAACTACACTTGTTATATATAGGAGAATAATTGCCAGGGGTGTTTGGCCGCCTTGTAGGTTTGCCTAGCCGCGCAGTTACCGGAGGGAAAGAAACAACTAGTACGTCCCCGTGACCGGACTTCCTTGGCCAATTTTACTCTCTTTTTTTGCCGAATTCTACGATCCGTATTCCCCTAGAAAGGCCTGGTGGAGGCTAGGTAATATGCCGAACTCACCTTGCTGAGATCCCGCTTGTCCCACCTCCGGACCAGCAGCAGGAGGATGATGTACAGACCCAGCGTGGCGAACACGGTGATGAACACCGCTAAGTTGTCCTTCAGGTTGACGAACTTGGCGAACACCGTCTTGAACTTGATGACGTTGGGCGTGGTGACGATCTCGGCTCCAAACGGCGTCATGTGGTTGCAGAGACACACCGTCTGCTTGGCCGAGGAGGCTGGGCTAACCTAGAGGAGGCAAGAAACACAGACATCAATTTCAAGTATTAACTACGTACAATAATGTACACGTGTACAGAAATTCCTTCGAGAAACAGAAAAATGAAAATATTGAATAAAGAGACAATCAGCCGACGTTTCGTTGACCGTCTGTCACCTTCCTAGATCCTAAAGGGCTAATCTGACTGGTTCATATTGTATGAACAATATTGTTCATATTGTTCATACAGCACAAGTGTCACTGGCTGCTATAGATGCCATCGAATTGTCGGCTGAATAAACCTCTTGGTTGTGTAAAAAGAGTCTCTTTTTTTCAGTGACTTACCAACTTGATGAAACTATTCACGGAGATGAAAATATTCCTCACGGAGAGTAAAAAATGTGTTGACTGATTAAATTCACCTAACCTGTTTCCATATCATCACTAACATTCCACATATTAGCTAGCCTCTACCAGGGTTGGGGAGGCGGCTGGAAAGAGTAGAAATCGGCCAAATAGAGATAAGCGTGCCAAGGGAGTTTGTCCGTTGAGAGAACATTTCGGTGGCTACATATTAGCTGAAAAGCAGGATAAGGTGTTTTATTATGCTTTCTTTTACTGACCTTGCACCCGTCGCCTGACCAGAGCTGCTCCTGCTCGTTCCAGAACCGGCAGCCGAGGCGGAAGGTCTCAATCTCATACCGGCACGGCGTTGGGGTGCAACCTGCAACGGAGATCGTAGAATCAGAATGGCCATCACTAAAAACACCTGCCGTTTACTTCCAAGACAGTGGACAGAGGAGTACCCCTTAGCGATCGGGGCTAAAAGACCATCCTCTAGCCAATGGATACTGTCTTACTACCGTAGGATCTGCTCGGAGATTAAAGGCTCTGAGCTTAAGATTAAGTATGATATTGACACATACTGTCCCACACTAGCACATTTGAATCTGTGTTTCATACTTTAGGCATTTAAAACTGCAGAAACAAGCCTCAAGATTATTCCTTTTTTTCAACCTAGATCCTTCCAGTAACTGTTTTTCGTCAGAATTTTGTGTATTTTTGCTCCATGAATGTCGATATACACTGACACAGTGTTGTGTCAACTTGGTACATGTAACGTTATGTAGATAAGTGACTAGAATATTGACTTTGAAATATAATTCTGGTTTCCAATCCCTAAAAACTTCACTGGATGCTTTTAAGTTGCCGTACCAAAGTAATACTAGGCACCACCTTTAGATGTACTGATAATTTGGTTCAAAAAGTACCTTCCATCCTTAGCCCAAGCATGTACTGGCCCTCGCCGTGGCTGAAGTCCGGCTGCACGACGGTAGAGGTAGTGTACACTATGTCGTCATCTCCATGGGTAGTCGTGCGCACTGTGTCAAAGTCATCCGCGGTGAAAACTTTCCTGTAATAGAAAGACGACAGTAGCTAGTTTAGGATGTGTCCTGTAGTGTATGTAGGCGCGTCTGTTGGGCTAATACATGATCATCAGTACTTGAACACGGTTTATCGACTTTGCTACTACATTTGATCTCTGTCATACTAGTAACATTTTGACTAACAATGGTTACTATGGTAGATGGCCAATAGTACACAGTTAAACAGTCAGTTATATCTTAATAGATATAGAATTTTAGTATTTAACGTTTAATTAGAATGTAGTATTGTTGGTGTTCTTTACTCCATGTCTTACATGTTCTAAACCACATATGGTCACCTGTACATTTAGTCGATCCATCTGGACAGGAATTTGCGATAAAGATTCATATCATGTCACTTATCTTTACTTTACATGTTCCAGTATATGCTGTAATGATTAGTAAAGTAGTAGGTATTCCATGTACGTACCTCCAAGCAGAGGTTTGGGTTTGGCGTTATTTTTGGCGTGTTTTTAGGCTTTTTTTATCGGGGTTTCTCTTTTGCACTGGAATTTTTTTTCTCACATTTCAGTGCTAAAGAGAAACCGTTATGAAAAAGTCTAAAAACACGCCAAAAATAACCCTAAACCTCTGCTTGGAGAGTACATTGACACCCAAACGTTTCTATATGTTTTCCAGGAACTACTTCCTAGAACTGTAGCCGATGACATACCTGAACTCATGCTCAGTCTCAGTGGGGAACGTTCCCACGCGTCCGTACAGCGTAGCGTTCCGGGACGGCGCCTTCAGGGTCACGGTCACCAGGTACGACTCCCTACCGGAGATGCCGAAAGACCGGAACGCCATGGGACCGTGGTCCGCCGGTGAGTACGGGCGGAGGAGGGTGGCGTCCGCCGGGGCCGGGAGGTTGTTCTGCACGGTGATGTGGATATCCTCCGGTAGATTCTATCGAAAGAGAGGATATGGTGTTAAGAAAACGGGCATTAAGAAGTCCTCTCTATGAATTTACTACACATCATGATCAATTCAAACATACCGGTCGAATATGGCCCCTCGAAAACTGTGAGAATTTCACACTACTCTTCCTGGAGTTCGTAGTGAATAATCAGATAAGTGTTTGGACCATCGCACACCGGGGCATGCCCGTACTGTTTTTAAAGGTGTGGTGGGTTCTTTAACGTGTGGGGGTGTGGCTCTAACCGAAGCTAGGTACTTATTTCCACCTGAATGAAGTGAGGAAAGTCGCGAAAAATGCCTTTCTCAAGGGCACAAGATCGGTGACAAGGTAGGATTCGAACCCGTAACCTCTTGGTTCAATGTTCAAAGCTTCGCGGTAAAGGGTGGAAAAGATGTGATTTGAACGTAAAATTTTAGAAATAATGAATACCTGAACAGGAATGGACTTTCCTGTCGAATCGTACAGGTCAACGTTCAGCACCGACGAACCAACTTGGCCGCTTGCGGAGGGACCTCCGAAAGGGTTCTCCTCAAATCCAACCACCTGTGAGAACCGGAAAACTTAGCAGTGAAGAAGACATCTGCGGACACCAACTCCTAACCTGGATGCCAGACCCATTGCACACTTAGACCAAAGTTGTCCAACTCGCACACTGGATAACTTTGAGCCTAGTGTAGTATGGGTCTGGCACCCAGGCTATCAACTCTAGATATTTGTGATAACAACAACCAATTCAAGAATGTAAGAAATTAAAAGTCAATTTTTAAAAAAACTAGAAAGGTAACATTTGAAAAGCAAATGCATAATGTTCACCTTCGCATATTACCTTCTCTGCTAATTCTTACTCAAACACATTCATATGGTCAGACAGGAGTCTACATCCCTCATACTATAAAACTGCAACACCATGTAACCCAACACCAGTTACCATGGTGACAGACGTCTGGTTCAGGTCATTGACCTTATTGGTTTGGAGAAGAAGAGGAAGAAACTGAGCAAAAACAATATGTTTTCCTTCGGTAAACATAATAAAAGACTGCCCTACGTACCTTTAACCTGGCGATGTCCGGAACACGCTTGCCGAACAGAGCAGCTCCTGACGGTAGCGTCACCGTTCCCTTGTTCACACCCACGCGGGTCCCACCTATGTCTGCGCCCGGGGACTTTCCCACCACGACCCGCACGCCCCTGGTCCCCACCTGCAGGTACCCCATCTCCGCTTTGCCCCGCAGAAGCGAACGAGAAAGCTCGTCAACTTCGACCAGGAGAGCTCCAAGCGTTTCCTAGAGAAAAAAAATTAATGACAGTGTTAAATGTCACGCATGTTTTTTGCAGATAAAAGAGACAGATGATCATTGAAGTTGCATTATACGCAAATAGTTTTCAGCATTTGCAAAGCTGAACGTTTGTCAGACCCAGTACACATGTTCTTCTTTGCAAGAAGAGTGAAGGAGGCGGTCATAACATTAGAGCTCACAGACCGACCCAGAACAGAGACGGGGGGCGACACAAGTTATCTGGCACGTATAACCAGCTACTACGGTCACGTGTCTATGCCGTCACGTTCCAAGAGTAGAAAGGTCCATTCCGTGAACAAGGTTGAAGGAGTCAGCTGAAATTTTGGGGTAAGTCCCAATTCATTCCAGTGTTGGAAGGAAACTCTAGTCTTTGTTTCATAATGACTTGTATCAACACAGAACTTTCATGCTATGTTTTTACATGGTAAATCTGCACTGCTGCTTTCTTGTTTTGCTGTCACGTCCGAGACAAACTTACCATGTCTCGGTTTTCTTCTTTTGTCGGTCTCGTCTGCACGCCAGTCTGATGCCGTATCTGTTCGTCTGGTTGTGTCAGGCTCGTACCGTTGGCTTTATGCTCGATCATGTTAGAACGACTCTCTCTGGGTGACCACTCTTTCATCAGCGCAGCGAAGGCATCGACAACAGCTGCATGGTGCAAAGATTTTTGCGTGAGACTTTTTTTATTTATCAATACACAACAAAACAGTAACAAGGACAGTGTGACGCTGCACTCAAGTTTATAACTTATTTTAACAGCGCCACACAACAAAATATAATTAACATATAGATACACATAGTTGACATAACAGTGCGCCGTAGTCCCACCACCCCAAGACATCAAATAATACTGATCACGATGCTGACCAGGTTATAAAAAGTTATTGAACAGGAGTGACTTCTATGACTGATTGACGAGAAAAGATGTCGCGTATTGTGCGTACGGCTGCGTATGAAAGAATTACCCGTACGCAACGTATACGCAATGACGTACGCAGAAGTGTGACAGGGCCCTAAGCTTGCTGCATTCGACACATCATTTACATAATAAAGGACATCCAAACTATCACTGTCGAAGTACAACGATTTCTATATCAATGGCTATAAAGCAATTCGATTTGACCGTACGGTCGTACTGTCATAATTTAAGACCTTTGAAACAGCGTCCACTTTTGACCCAGGTTTATTGCAGAGTCAGGGAATAATAAGCACATGACAACAAGCCTACGGTGGACTTTGATGTGGGGCGAGGCTGACATCAGCTAGTAACAACAATCATGGCGGCCGCACCGTCTAGTATGGGAACACAAATCCGTCAAGAACTGTCCTGCAGCATCTGTCTGGAGCTGTTCACCAGGCCCAAGATGCTGCCCTGTCAGCACACCTTCTGTCAGGACTGTCTACAGGACCATGCAAGCAGGCGCACGCCCTTCCAGTGTCCAAACTGTCGTCAACAAGTCAGGCTGCCAAGTCCAGGGGTCGCTGGTTTGCCCGACAATCGCATTGTGGCCAACTTGTGTGAGAGGTTCCAACAACAAGCTTCACTGCCACAGGAAACAAGCGAGCAACCGCAGTCTGGAAACAAGTGCAGTTTTCACCCCTCCGAAGAAGTCAGACTGTACTGTAAAGAGTGCAAGGTGCCAATTTGCAACGAGTGTATTGAAGAGGGTCATGATGGGCACCCTACCAAAGGCCTTAGGAAAGCCGCGGAAGAAAGGAGATCTACAGTCCATGACTTGGTCACTGAGGGGAGGGAAAAGTTGGAGACCTACTGCAGCTTCATCAGAGGTCTGAGAGAAGAGGACAGGGACCTTGACCAGCAGAAACAACAGACGGACGAGAAGATCATGGAAGCCTACCGACAAGCCTGCGAACACACCCTTCAGAAACTAACAGAGGAAAAAGACCGTCTCTTGTCTGAAGTTGAGACGAACCACAGGGAAAGCAAGGGCGCCGTACAGAGCCAAAGAGATGCACTGTTGACTGATGTGACTGAACTGTCTGCTGCTTGTGATGGGGCAGAGCAGGATATGGCTAGAGATGATAGGGAGTTCCTCAGTCGTGAATCCAATGTAGACGAGGTCGTTGGGAAATTCAGAGACAAGACTGTGCCAAATCCACTTCAAACCCACCCTGCTGTCTTCCAGCCGAAGGTAAGCGTGGAACTCGTGTGTACACTTGGAGATGTGACTGTCCCAGGGGCTGGACCGTCTAGCGATGCTACAACCAAGACCATTTGTAACCAGTTCGGTCGATGCGGTTCAGAACCAGGTCAGTTCAACTGGCCCCTTGGACTTACAGAGGGCGAGGGGGAGATCTTCGTGGCAGATCTTGAAAATTTGAGAATCCAAGTCTTCACCCTGCAGGGAACAATTGTCAGACAGTTCCCAACAGTCGTGTCTAGTGGAGAGAAAATGTATCCAGATGATGTGGCCATGGACGGGGAGGGGAACCTGTGGGTGGTAGGGAGGGTGGTGATGAGTGTGGTGGGGAGTGTTTTGCGAAGGGCGGTTGGGGTAGGCCGGGGCGATCGCGAGTTTGCTGTGCAGTACAACAAACAGGGCAGCGTGCTGAGGCAGATTGAGCTACAGTCAGGGTGGAACAGAGGAGTTGCCGTGGACACCAGGAGGAAACACATCCTCATCACACAAACTACAGGAGACTGGCACCGACACGGACACGGTGAAGTACAGGTGTTCAGGCCAGATGGAACACTTGTCAGAACTGTGGGTCAGCAACAGGGGATGGCGTGGCCATGGTACATCACTGTAGATGGGGAAGGGAACATTCTTGTGTCAGACAAGGACAATCACCATGTCTATATGTACAACGAGGACGGACAGTTTCTGTTCAAATTTGGAGGCAGGGGAAGTGGTGAAGGTCAGCTGGACTCTCCCCGTGGTATCTGTACAGACGGGGCAGGTAACATCATCGTAGCTGACTGGGGAAACAAACGTGTGGAAATGTTCGACAAGAAAGGTATATTCCTCAAACACATCGCTACAGATATGAAAAGTCCCTGGGTTGTTGCCATGGCACCACAGGGACGGCTGATGGTGACTGATACTAAGGAACACACATTCACTATCTTCAAACATAGCTATTCTGGATAGAATAGTCATCAATAGTGTTCAAAATAGGATTCCATTGGCGGTCACTTTTCCGTGCCATACAAGTGAAATATTCATTTTCATCTCAGAAAGAATTTCTTGAGTAATAAGACATACTTGTGAATAAGATCCTTGTAAATACAGTGATCTTGTTCCAAAAGATTTTCCAACCGATCAGACTATTCTGTTTAACGCCTCTGGGATTGAAAAGGCAAAGCTACTCATGTAATATGCAAACAAAGGGGTTTATTTGTTGAATTGTGTCAATCATGATACTCGATGAAGGTCAGACATCCAGGTAATTAGATACACAAGAAACAGTTGTACTCAGGTGCCGGAGTAGCTGTTTTCTTGTATGATACTCATGGTTTTAAAACTAATAAAAGGACATGAAGTTGCATTTTGCTAAGTGTATTCTGTTATCACACTGTAGATACCACCCAGCAGAATAACTTAAAACAACTAGAGGTTATCATTACAGCTAAAATGCATTCGAATCCCAGTGATAAAACCCTTTAATGCCATCGAGTATGTTGCCACTTAGAATTTCGTTTTATTTCGAACCCTTTCTTTGACACTGTCTCATAGTAATGCTTCATTCTAAAAATGAGAATTTCAATCTGTCTGTAACAATATGACAAGGTGCATGTGGTCAAGTGTTGGAAAGCCATTATGTACATAAGCTCACACAGTGCTGCATGCCAGAACAATAGACAGACCTCTGCCTCTATGATAATACTTGTGCAGACCTTCTAGTGGTCGCGCTTGTTTTGTTTGTGTGTCAACATGATCATTGATTTCGTCTGGTTCTGATGTTGTGGTCGTGCCGTCAAAATATAGACCTTTGTAACATCGTCTCGCCCTCGTACAGCCAGGTATATTACACAACCAGGGGTCAAACATGTCGCCCCTTAGACTTTGCTTTGGGCCACATAAGCAGGAAATAACGTTAAACAATAATTCGGAGACGTCATACCTCCATGATTTATGTAGAGTTTATGTAAAATTGTTGTTGATGTGGTTTGTCTCATTGTATATGGAAGGAAGGTCGTAATTAACAGTTTAATTTATGATTTCTAAACTCAAATTACAATATTTTTCGTGAGGAATTCCTATCAAAAAAATCCAAGACCATAGCATGTTCAGGACAAAAGATATAAAATCAGAAGTTCTGCTGCAGTACCAAGGTCAGCCACCAGGAGGCCAATATGACCTTGACCTTTGTCTTCCTAAGACCTGCCAACGTACCAAATATCATCACAATCCATAAAGGCGATCTGAAGTTATGCTGACTACAAAGTTGCGGAAACACACTCAGACACACACACAGACAGACACACACACAGACAGACACACACACACACACAGACATACAGACAGACAGACATGCCAAAAACAATACCTCCATTTTTCATGGAGGTAACAACACCTCCATTTTTCATGGAGGTAAAAAAATCCATCCAAACTTCAAGACGGAATCTTCTTACCAGATGCGGCGGGTGAAAGCTCCTCCGAAGACAACCCATCCTCCAGTTTGTCCCTCACTAAGCCGACTAGCTTACCCACAACGGCTGCGGCGAACTCCTGTGGTTAAGAACACAGGAAAAGAATGTTTGAGTTTGAGGAAAGTTTGAGGAAAAGAGTGATACACATTGTAGCACATTTCATTCAAGAGTAATTAACTAATATGAAGCAAAACTACCTACAGAATTTGCTACGAAACCTTCAAATCTGAAAGGACGAACATTCGAGACTAGAAAGGCAGATATTTGCTATGGAACAAATACAGCATATTTCAGTCCATACACTCAGTCCAAAATAGACTGTTCCATATCCACCGTAAAATTCCATGTAGTGCTCCTCAATATCAATGGCATGCAGGAGAAGAAACATGAGGAAAAACAATATTTCAGCTCATACCATGGTATGAACTGAAATAATAATTTTGACTGTGTGTACTATTAACCTACTAAGTACATAATTTGGTTCACATACGATGAAACCGTACGCTTGTGCATATTTTTGCATTATCGCGTGATTGTTTGGAATGTGTCACTATACCTGATCTTTTGGGTTCATCTCCACGAGACGTTCAGTCATCTTTGCCACTGCAACGATGTCATCCAGAGTTACCAGACCGTGCCCATCCTGACCATAGCCACATCCACGCACTGCTAGACTGAGCTCTGAGCCGGCATGGACGGATATTTCCATCGGTAGGTCTGTAACAGTTTCACCAAAGTCAGAGAATATCCTAAGCATAAATTCCTTACTTCATACACGTGCACTTTAGTCTCCACCAGACTAACTACGCTGGCTATAATATAGGAGAATATTTGCCAGGGGAGTTTGGCCGCCTTGTAGGTTTGACAGGCCTCCTTCGGAGGGAAAGAAACTACCTCCCCGCGGCCGGACTCCCTTGGCCAATTTTACTCTGTTTTGCTGAATTCTACGAACCGTATTCCCGTAGAAAGGCCTGGTGGAGGCTTCATACACTTGAGCACTGTAGAAAAGTTCATCTTCCTAATGCCACTAGACATACGTATACCTTCATCTATATATATATATAATCCTCTACTATAACTACAAAGCGAGGAGAAGTTGAATTTATCTAATGATAGCTAGTTTTATCTTGTATATATCTGTTCATCATGTTTTGTTTTGACCTGTACTAAGCCCAGTGTGGCAAAAATGTGCAATAAAGGTCGTCATTCATTCATAAATTCTAAACTATATTTCTATAATTCAAACTCTTAACTGTTAACCATTCTATATTTCTGTGTGAGGGCTCAATTGCTGATATTATACTACATTTCATTTTTTTTATTCCAACATTTATCACATGACATGGCGACGGCACACTTCGCATGATTGGACAATAGACATACTCATTTCCACCTGAGTAAAGTGAGGACATCGCGCCTTTCCCAAGGACACAAGATCGGTGACATGGCAGGATTCGAACTCGGGATCTCTTGGTTCCGAGTCGAACGCTTTGTTCTTACGCCACACGACCACAATATTACATTTCTTGGGTGTGAAATTTAAGTTATGTTAAACGTTAAATGTTACATTAGTTTTTACGTGGACCCAGACGCTCACATCAAACGCAACAATATTCGTGTAAAAATTGAGAAAAATATTACACGGGTGCTTGAGCAACAATGGGATTTAATATTCATAAGTGTTTTGAGATAATCGCCGTAGAGACGACACAATGGCACGACCGTACATACATGTACTTAGACCGCACCCAATCTGACCTATTGTGTTTGTATGTATGTATGTGCAAGTTGCTTTTATGTCGTCTGTCAGTTGATGTCATCTCAGGACTTTTTTTGTTTGTAATATTAAAATATATTTGTAACATTTTTAATAACTAGTATACATGGCACACTCAAGTTATATCAACTTATTTTATGCCGCCACCAATACAGAGGGCAAGTACAGGACAGGGCGATACTCATTTTCACTTGAGTGAGGAAAGTCGTGTAAAGTGCCTTTCCCAAGGGCACAAGATCGGTGACATGTCAGGACTCGAACCCGGGACCTCTCGGTTCTCAGAGTCAAACACTCTGCCGTTACGCCACACGACCCCACGACAGGACATTTTTTCTTAACAATTCCTGCATATTTTACTTTCCAGTGGCAACAGTTTTCATTACTTTATATTCTTGGTGTAAGGTGAGGCTAACTTCTTTATGTACAACTGTTATCTATTGTCGATATGTTTCAAGCCCAAAGTATCTTGAAGACAAGGTCAACGTCTTAGCCCGTCGTCTATCCATATTGATATGATATGAATCTTTATTGCATGTTCTTGCCCAGATGAGCTAAATGCACGGTAGTAGGGGATAGAATGAGGTCTGGTAGTTTACGTTTACGAATTTATTGAGTGCTTATGTAGTACAAGCTTGCTTTTTAAGACTTACCCAAGCCTTGCCCGGTACCATTACGGGACACATGCCGGTCGGGACTGAAGTGATGTACCGCCCAGTCGCTGCTGAAACATCGGGGTTCTCCTGAGGAAAAGAACAGAGACTTTTACTCCAATAACATCGGCATTTCTTGGTACATCTTTCTATATGGCTTTTTCAATCGGCAGATGTGATTATACCCTTCAGCAAAAACATTTCATTCAAACGAAGAACGTGAACTTTGGTGTGGTCTTGTGGCGTAAAGGTAAGAGTGTTCGTCTCGGAACCAAGAGGTCCCGAGTTCCAACCCTACCTTATCACCGATATTGTGCACTTTACATGAATTACCTCACTTCACTCAGGTGAAAATGAGTATAGTGTTGTCCTTTATTTATGTTGGTGGTTTGATAAAAATAAGCGTGCTTTCCCCACGTCTTGTGATTAAATGTTGCAATAGATTAACGTGAACTTTAATTTGTACACGCACGTGTATCTTGAATTTGAAGCCGGACTTTTTTCGAGTCTTCATCACTATACGAGCATTTCCAACGTCTAAAGTAACAAAATATTAATCTACCTAAGACTTACATCTAGAACAAACGACTTAACATAAATGTAACAGAAGAGACCAACGAGAAAAATGGGAAGAAACGTACCGAGTGCTTTCGACGTTTGGGCGGTACTGCTACATACACCGGCCACGACCAGCAGGGCGACAGCAAGCAGGGACCTCATAGCATTCGTTGCCGCGGGTAGGCCTTTGCTAGAGCGGCAGCCACATCACAAAACTCCGCTAGGTTTTCTTACTCAATAAATCGCCTGTTGAGAGAAATATCTAAAAGTTACAACAACAGAGGCAACAAGTACCCCACCTGTTCTAACGTCACACAAATTCCAACAGGTAAAATTTTGCCTCTTTGGTCGTCCAATTGGACTGTACCATCAGAAGAATTTGGGGGTAATTAAATTCTTGATAACGAATCCTAGACGTAGAATTATATATATTTTGATTGTTCGAAAGTTTGTAGTTTATGTTTATATAGCGACATTCAAGGCATGCATTTGATTGGCGTGTTTTAGCGTAGTCTAAAAACTCTAGATATTCAACACCCGGACCCTGTGGTGTACATGGAATCGCCCTAAAACACACCATACCAAGAAATTGCTTGTGTACGTCTGTATGCACAATAATTATGTTCCTCATTAAATTTTTTTGTGGTATAACCTCGAGGTAATAATACAGCTTGGCGGGGCAATAAACGGGTGTTATGAATATTTTATGTTATAATTGCCCCAGGTATTCTTACTTTCCACTTAAATGATTTTTGATTTTGACTATATTTGACTATACGAACTGTTTATCGAAATCACCTATTGTTGTTACCAAGTAGAACGAACAGTCACGGGTATTTAATTTTACGTATGACGTGTGTGGTGTTATTTACACTGGGTGGTTGTCAACGTTCACACAATGGTAAAAAATGCAACAAAATGGAAGAAATATTGAGGAACATTACAGAAATACGCCCCTACGCCATGAAAAAGGCTACCTACATGTATTATAAACTTGTAAATATTTGTTCATTCTCTAAAACTTTCATTGGTCGAGTCTGCATTACAATGCATGCTGCTAGATGGCGCTTCAACATACCCATGATGCATCTCTCCTCAGACGTTTGAACAAGATGGCGGCAAAATATTTTGTTGTTGTTCGACTAGTTCATTTTTAAGTCCCATTTTACCTGATTTCAGGCCGGTTTACACCGAAAACTGAACTTTTTCTGTCAAGATCACCTCTTTGAGGGCACCACGGCATAATGTCTAAGTGTGAGTATCGGTGTATCGTACTTTTTGTGTGTAAACTCTTCGTCAAAATTTCCAAGAATTTATGACGACTCTTTTCCAGAAATTTTCTACTTTGATTTTCTACGATTATTGCCCAAACCATTTGGCAAAATATGATGTCACGTAACTTATATCGGTCTCTATATGGTATAACGTTACCAGCTGTGTTTCCAAGAGTGTGATTTCTGTACAGTTTTCACAAATTATGTGTCCAAAAATTTATGTGTCCAGTTCAACTCCTTTGTGTTTATCATTTCACACTAGGCTGCTACTCAATCATGAAATCTTCCATGTATTTATATCCGAAAATAATTTAGATCTCCTTTTTATCAGAAGATATTGCTATGAATATATGATTTGATATATTCATAGCCAGACGGCTGTCTGTGTGCAGTGTAGTTTGAACCCATCCTGTAAAGGTCATAGGTCACTGAAGTGTACTAGTAGTATGTAGTATACTGATTTTTAACTACTTAAACTTACAACATGTACTGTGTCCCTCTTCTAGTGTGGCAGCATCCGTATGTGAATGTGTTCAAGCATCTGAACGTGGCAGAATGGAAGAAAGCCAGCAAAGAAGGGGAGGTGTCAACAATCATGGTCAGAAACTTTCAAGTCATACATTTCAGCATAAATTATATAACTTAGTATAATACTTATATAGTGTAATACCCAGTACATTTTTTTTGTAATACTTACCCTTTGATATTGGTACACCAGTAGTAGCACTACTAGTATACTAAAATGAAATGGTATTACTATTTCTACCATGAATTTCATGCTGTGTGAAAAGGAACGCAAACAGCAGCAAACTACATGAAATTCAGCCACCTACCAATTACTTTAGTATACTCTACACGAAATTAAAACAGATGATTACAAATTACGTAAAATTAGAACAGTTGATATATATCGCCTTACATATATATATAACTTATACTTGCTTATGGAGGTCTTTCTCCATATGGTGTTTAATCTTTAGACAGCACATTGAAGTAGCCACGTGGCTACCAATTCTCAAATTATAACTTATAATTTGAGAATTGGTAGCCACATAATATAAGCAGAGGGGAGGTTAATAGATTCCATGTTGACTACATGTTTTGAACAGGACAAGACCCTGAAGTCCAGTGTGTACCGAGTGACAGGTTCAGTACCTGCTGGTAACTACATCCAGCTGCCCAAGACTGCCTCCCAGTCCCTGGGTCTCACGGGGAGGTTCCTGTACCTCCTCTTCAAACCCATCCCGGGGAAGTACTTCGTGGTCCACTTGGATGTGGCAACACAGGTCAGAAGCATTGTGGTTTTTTCATAGCCTATATTTTGATATCAATCATGATATTCCTACTAGTATCAACATTTTAGACGTTAATAAAAGATACCAGTAATGATAAAACGTAATTAGAGTTTCAGGAGTTCATTTTATATTCATTTCAGATTCTTTATTGACTCGATAAAAGTACTACTGTGACTTTCGTATGGTCTACTACAACTAAGATCTAACAAAGCTAAACATAACAATTTAACCCTTAGTCTCTTACTTTATTGTACAACAAATATAAAGCTTACCAACCTTCAGGATAATATGCTAGCTTCTATTCTAAGACCCTTGTCAGTGAGCCATGAAGAAAATATCACTAGGTTTAGAATATCAAATTTGTGTGTTCTTTCACATTCTTCACACTTAGGTTCATTGGCTAATCTGATTCTAAAATGTTTTGCTGATTGCAATGACAATTTGATTATATGTGGTTTATATATATATAAGAAACAAGTATGATCTAAGACATGAGAAACTTTCTTAGCATTGTAAGACTAAAAAAATCTGAATTTATCGCAAATTCACAATACAATATCAAATTTAAAACTTTAAGAGAAACATTCAGTTACATATGACATCATTTACAATGTACATTTTCAAAATTTCAGAAACCAAATTACAGATATACATGAATTCAAAAGTTACAGGGGAATCATATCAGAGATTTGTTATAGAGCAGTGTTGCTTGGTAGAAAAGAAGATTGTTTCAGTATTTACAAATACCTTTCCCCTTTGTTCCAGGATGGTCTTGTGATCAGGATCTCCTTTTCCAACCTGTTCCGTGAGTTCAAGTCGACGGCGACCTGGCTCCAGTTCCCGTACGTGTGCCACGCCGCCCGGGGCTCGGTCCAGGAGCTGGCATCCATCGGTAACCATGACAACCTGGGCCCCGCTCCGGCCGCCATGCGCTGGACAGTACTGATGCTTGACCTGCACTACATCCTGTCTGTGTACCTCAACCAAAGGTAGCAACATTTACTAAGTTTAACACTACTTTCTACATTGTAAACTTTATTTCAGTCAAAGAAGTACTTTTACCATCTCTCTCCAACATAGTAGAGCTACAGCATCTCAATGACAGTTCCTTATATTTAATTATGTTCCTTACTACTTTGAGGGTCCACATCACTTTCACACCTACAAAATTGTAATGTTTTTGATGTAGTCCAAAACTTCATCTACTGTACTGGTAGATTCTCGTAATTGATAGATCATCAACTTGTCTTGTTTGTTTGTATCTTGGCTTTATCCACCTTGTAATTATGCATGTATCTTGTCAATGTGTTTTATACTCGTTGTATGTTTTTGAGTAGAAGGTGTTATATCAGCAACTTTTGCTTTTTGCATAATACTCAATAAATATATGTGAAAAAAATACAAAGTTTAAGGTAATACCTAAAATTTATTTAATACCTAGGAAAAATTGAGGTAATTGAGAGAAAAACAGGTATAAAGAGACATTTCAGCACAAAGGACAGTACCAAAATAAAAAAGTTAAGAAGCATTTGGTACTGCCCTTGGTGCTGAAATGTCTCTCTACACCTGTTTTTCCCTCAATTTTTCCTAGGCATTACAAAGGCGATCCTACCCGCGGTCGGGCTGGTACCTCGGGTGACACGAAATACACCGTGTTGTATTTTATATATATTATAGTTGTATTTTTGTGCCCTGGCTCATTTTGCAGGTATGCCTACCTGAAGAGTGTGCGTCTCTGTGCAAACCTGTTTGTCAAGAATATGTTCACCAGTGACATGGAGTATGAACCAGGTAACTATATGAAGTATATAACAATCTTTCCTTCACAATCAATATAAAGTACTGTGATCTTTAAGAAATCTACGCCAAAAACAGTTACTCAAGCAACTGGATATGATTTTGAAATGCATGTTAAAAATTTTCAATACAAACAAATTTTTTTTAAATGCCAGTGAAGGTTAGATGTCAAGATAATAAGACAAACAGTTGCTCAAACAACTGGATATGATTTTGGAAATGATCAAACGTTTCATGCAGCATTCACTACCTTTCGTCAGTGACACTAGAGATTGCAGGAGAAAGGCAGGTTTATAAGCACAAACTACTTGATTGATATGCAAATAAGGGAAAGGTAGTAGATGCTACATGAAACGTCTGACCGTTTCCAAAATCATATCCAGTTGCTTGAGTAGCTGTATCTTATTACCTGGACGTCTAACCTTCACTGACGTTTTAAGAAAATTTGTATTGAAAATTTTTAAGAAGTTAATTCATGTTTCTGTCTAATGTACACGTAGGTTTATCCCTATCTGAAGCGAGAAAGACAGGTGTGTTAGCCCACGGTGTAACCCCCATGCCACGTGAAATGGCCTTCCCCCTACCTAAGGGGGAGACCTGGCACGGCAGGTACGACTTTGTCAGGTTTCCCTCCGCAACCAAGAAGTCACCATTCGACTCCATCCAGAGGGGGGACAAAACAACACAAGTTTCACAATTTGGTAAGAATGAATTTTGACATTAGATATAGAACAAATTTTTATTAGTAAAGCACAACCCTTGACATTTGTTAACAATAAAGGAAAAACTAGAAAGGTAACATTTGCAAAGCAAATGCATAATATTTATCTTTGCACATGGTCTGCTCTGTTAATTCCTACTCAAATACAGTCATATATATATGGTCAGACAGAGGCATAAATCCCTCCTATTATAAAATTGCAACACTATGTAACCCAACAGTTACCATGGTGAGAGATGTCAACAAACAGGTCATTGACCAGGTCAGAGGTCAGTGTTTGGAACGGAAGAAGAAGAGGAAACGTAGCAAAAACAATATGTTTTCCTTCGGTAAACATTGATTATATGAAAAATGGAGTAAACTCATTTACAGGGATCAAAGAATGTTGTTTGCAGATTTTGAAACACCCCTATTTAACAGTGGTATATTCCTGATTAATTTCAGCTGAACCTGGCACCATCAGTCCAAAGAGAACAGAACCAAAGGAGGTTCAAACCAGCCGACCAATCAGAAACCCCGTATCAACCATCAACCACATCACCTCTCCCAAGAAGGGATCACACAAGAGGCGACCAATCACAGCGAGCCTTCCTCCAGTGGGGGTTGGGGTTGCCAGGGAGACCAGCTCGGAATCTTCCATTGCTGTCCAGCCGGTGGGGGACGAGGTCCATGTTTATGCTCACCCAACAGATGAAGTTCTTGTACACAGGTAAACATTTTGTCATGTGTGTACACAGGTAAACATTTTGTCATTTTGTCATGAGCTACATATCATGTGTAAGTATCTATGTACTGATGGTTGTACAATGTTAATTTTGCTACATTCCAAAAGGGCTCGAAATACTGTCCTGTCTGGGATGGTGCCATTTCGGTACAATATGATAAGATGCAAAGAATGCAGAACCGCGTAGGAAAATTGATCTTGAAAGCCCCGTACAGAACACCATCACGGGAAGTCCTCTCTCGTCTGGGATGGAAGTCCGTGAGAAGTCTACATCGTCAACATAAAGCCATGCTAGTGTATAGGGCCTTGGACAATTCTTTACCACCATATATGCAAGGGGTGTTCATCCGGTATAGAGACGCAGCCTCCAGATCCACCAGACAGAGCACATTGGACAACCTCATCATACCGAGGCCCCAACTGGAAGTGTACAGGCGGTCACTGAGGTACTCGGGGGCGACTGTGTGGAACTCCTTGCCACCACATGTACGAGCAGCCCAGTCATTGGGAACATTTAGAAGTATGATAAGGAACTTGGACTGATAACGGACTGATGAATTATTATTTATTTTTGTATTATATTTTGATTTGCACTTTGTTTTGATTTTGTATTATATTTTGGTTTGATTTGTAATCCGTGACCCCGCCCTCACCCTCGACCTTGTTGAAAAGCGGTCATTTGTAACCGAACAAGCTTTCGAGTTTAAATAAAGGCTTACTACTACTACTACTACTGGGTACATGTGCACCTTAGTGCACCCAAATTTGGAGCTGTGCACCCAATTATTTTCTATGGGGGCACCAGCGCACCCAAATATTTTTGTAGGTTTACGTATGTAAGATATTAAATGTATAGTAGAATACAACATATCCTAACATCTAAGTGTCAGAAAAATAATAAAATCATTGTAATAGTTGCTGTAGTTTTTTTTTTAGAAATGAAACAAAATTAGTTTTTGCTAACATTCTACATTATTTATTTTATCTTATATGGTCACCGCAAAATATTTTTGTGCACCCAATTTTTTTAGGTTGGATGCACCAGTGCTCCTATTCCCAGAAATGAATTTCAAGCACATTATACTTGTCAGTTCATTTCTAAATTAATATATATGATAACAGTCCTGTTTGTATCTGAGTGCAAAATGACATCATTGCACCCTTTCATGCCACACACAGACATGATGAGGAGACAGGAAAGGTGTCATCGTTCCGAGCGAGTGTTCCATCCACAGCAGGACCAATCAGGTCCTCCGTACCAAAGCAGACGGCGCCACGTCCCCTCGCGCCAGTCTCCAAGAAGTCACGCCATCGCACGTTGAAACCTGACCCCATCCTGAAGTTGAAAAGGATTGTGGGTTTTGGAGGCAGCACAACAAGAGATGTGAGTTTGCCTCACATCCTGTGTGTTATGAATTAAGGGTTAATGCCCCGCCCTGAGGTGTATGTATGTATGTATGTAGACCCATAACCGTGAGCGGTCGTAGGGGCATCATGACAGCCAGCAGCATGTCTGGACTTGTCACGATGTTTCAGTAGGCGTATAATCTTGGCGGCGCCTATCTCCTCTCCAAGATTTTGGCTGATACAGACGGGGTTCGCCAGGCCTCCGTCCGGGTGAATGGTGTTAATCACCATGTGGCTTATACAAGACGGAGGTCGCCAGGCCTCTGTCCGGGTGATTTGAAGTGAATCACCAACTCCATACAGTAGTGTTTGTACCATCTCATGAGGTGTATATGGTGAGATAATTCCTGGTCAGGTACAATAACCACCGAATTAACCACCGAGTGAGCATGTTGGGGGTGTCAAAATTATGTTTAATGTTTCTCTGTTTGAATTTCATTTATATCTAAAAATTTTTAATTGTGCTGTATTTTCAAATAAATTATGCAAAATAATCTACAATACATTTTTTATAGATAAATACTACAAGTTTTAACACTACTCATAGTGTCCTGTCCCCTGTATAATGGTATGGTCCAAAAAGTGGTCGATTATTCTTAAACTATTAACTGACCAGTTTTGAGGTTACAGCGTGATAACCAATGGGAAATGGAGCCTTCTGATTGGTCAACATCTTCTGGCTATAAGATAATACATGTAGTTATTAGTATACGTACATCTAGGAGAGAATGTGTGTATTCAAAATTTAAGATAATTAGCATTTGCAATAATATTCACAATACAATATATCCACCCTTGTTCCAGGCACTGTGGACAGCCAATGGCCAGGAGGTTGTGTACCCCTGCCATGCTGTCATTGTTGCCATGGAGACAGACAATGGGCACCAGAGGTTTCTCATTGGACACACAGACAAGGTGTGGTTAAGGAAATCAAGATTTATTTTAGATTCTGTCTACATTTGTATTTATATTATAATGCCTGGTGTGTATGAGTACAATGTATGTGTGGCTGTGCCTGTGATTTGTGTAAGGCCATACTGATTTAATTTCATGGATGACATCTGCACACGCATTGATTTTTGCCTGTTCTCAAGAAAGAAAAAAGCCTAATGTGACCTAATGTGAAAGTTAGTGATCTCGAGCCAGTTTAGCTCATTGAAGAGCTAAATCTTCCACTGGTTGTGACAGAGAAGACAGACACTATGTACGGTATTTACAGCTTCATTGTACCGGGGAAATTCTCCTAGCTATTGTCGACAAGCACAATGAACAGTGGACCACAGCTTAACGTCCTGTCCTAAGGACTGCGACCCTAAACAGTAGCATGCATGTTGGGTGAGCAACAACAGCCGGGATTCGAACTCCCAACCTCTTAGTCCAGAGGCAGGATATTGCTAACCACTGGACTATGCACGCTACTTATTGTCTCTTCATATGGTGTTCAACTTGTAGGTCTCAGCCCTGAGTTTTGACGGGTACTCCCGACTGCTGGCCTCGGCACAGACAGGTTCCACTGCCGTGGTCCGAGTCTGGCGTTTCCATAACGGAGAGTGTCTGTCTGTCTTCAAAACACACGTCCACTCTGCACACAGTCTCAGGTCAGTCTGTAGGATTGAGATATATTTCATACAAGTCAATAGTGTTAAATACCCAGTCTGCATTTTGCCGAGAAATTTTCAATGTTGCAGAAGAAAAATTAAGCAATCTGCAATTTTGCAGACTGAAAAAAAATCAGGATAGGGGTTCAATTGTGTCTTTATAATATTGTTTGGGAGCGTTTGTGCTTGCTACTGACTTAATGATATTCCAGTTATGCATGAATTTTTCAGATTGCATGTAAAATGTTTGCCAAAATGCAATCTTGTATGGGTTTGAGTTAGGGCTTAAAAGTGTGTATTTGCAGCTGCATGAAAAGTACATGTATTTCCAAATTGCAGAACAATATTGTGACATTCTGCAATATTGCAGGACCTACAAAAAAGTTACTCTCCAAGCAGAGGTAGGGTCGCTCGGTATTTTGGCAGTAGTTTCACGTTTTTAATAAGTCTTTTTGTCTAAGTAGAAAGACGTATTAAAAACGCGAAAATACTGCCAAAATACCGAGCGACCCTACCTCTGCTTGGAGAGTACAAAAAAGTATTTTAATCACAGTGGTCAACATATTTTAAAATTATAACAGATTGGCTGCAGTCTAGCAGAACTTAACTTTGGAGGACCTTGGACATTGTTGTTTGATGTGAAATATCCTTTTGCTTGCCTTCCCTATTTTAAATGTATAATTTGTGTCTTTAGTTTTTCCCAAGATGGTGATGTTCTATGTGGAGTTGGAAAAGATGGTCATGGTAAAAATGTAAGTTACAGTTGTTTTCAGGTTCCTTTTTAAATACTTTTTTCTTGATTTAGTATTTTTCCTTGCAGAATATTAGCATTTACTGTACATGTACATATATGGTCTTGGTTTGGTTTGGTTTGGTTTGGTTTTCCTTTGATGCCCATCATCATGATAATGATTACATTGTATTCTTGCATACTCATTTTTACCTCATTTCAAGTGAGGAAAGTCGTGTTAAGTGCCTTTCCCAAGGGCACAAGGTTGATAACTTGGCAGGATTCGAACCCAGGACCTCTTGGTTCTGAGCCGAATGCTGTGCCATTATGCCACACAACCCCAAGTCTTTCCGGTTGTTGTGTAGATGGTGGTGGTGTGGGACACGTCGCGGGTGACTAGGGGAGGGAATGTGGATGTCCTGGCTAAAGCACACACAGATGTGGACATCATACAGCTCCGACTGGCTCCTCATGACTCCACAAGGTACGTACATACAGAATACAACACGGGGTATTCCGTATATGCGGAATACACCGTGTGGTATTTTATTTATGTCATACCCACCCAAGAAAACACGCCTTTCAATGCAAAATGAGCCAAAAGTTGGTGCCACTAGACCCTAAAATGCAACAACATCAATTCCAACGTCCGGATCCTGTATTCGAATTTTCGAAAGGGGCACAAGCAGGTAGGGCGAAACGCGTTCGAATCATTTTATGGAAGCCATGGAAGCGTTCGATAACGGGTTCCGGACTGGGCCGTACCGTAAAGTACGGCCCGGTCCGGAACCTGTTATCGAACGTTATCGTGGCCCGGGTATGATATAACGTCTTTTCTCCTCTACTGTATTGTACTGTAGTGCCAAAATTGTCTTCTGTTAAATCCTTAATGTAAAGAAACTACTGTAATTCACTTTATGTTCACGGTAGCAAAATTTCACGGTCTGAGAAAAATAGAAATGTTCACGGAACTATATGTTCACGGTGGTGACAGGTGTAGGAAAAAGAAAGTCCAGGAATTATTTGTTAACTGTAATGATAAGTTCACTGTACAGAAGCAACAGTGAAAACAGTGAACTTATCAGTACAGTGAACAAATCAGGAATTACAGTATTCCACAGTCCAAAAATGTTTCTTCTTACAAGTAAGTGAGAACATTCTGCCAACCAACAATCTATAAAAAGCTAAGTTGTCAGGTCATGTGAGCTTTCTTTCCAACTTCTTGCGTATGTGAACAGAAGTTTGTTGATGATTGAATAGTAAAGTTCTTTTTATTCACAACCATTTGTTTTACACAAACTATAATCAACCTTTAATTACCAACCTGATGAAAGTATTTACAGAAGGAAAGTAGTTCTTTCTTGTCAGAATTAACTTCATAGAAGAAGAAGAACGTTATTTTACAACAATTGTACATGGTACAATGTATAGCAACAACTAGTGAACAAAGAAAAGTACCAAAAAAAGTATAGTATAAGACTTAATATAAAATGAAACTCAAACAACAAGGGCTAGCACAAGTCTGTCTTTGATATACATGTAGTGTTATATTCGAGTGGGGGTAATCATGAGGTTTGGTATAATTTTATATTTTGGTAATGATTGTGAAGGATGGTTTCCTGTGGGCGTGACAATATCCGGTTCTGGCGGCTGAAGCACGGTTCTCTGCGGTCGGCGCCGGTGTCCCTCGGGGAGTACCACACCATGGAGTTCACCGACATCATGTTTCCTGTCACCGCAGACCGCGAGAGTCACACATCGGAACACAGGCTTGTGTAAGTCAAGGAATTGTTGTCGATTCAGTTTTACATACTGTAAATTACTTTATATTTGTTGCTACATACTCACCAAAGGGGAAAAACAGGTACGAGACAGTTCAGCACCAAGGACAGTACCAAAATAAAGAATTTGGTACTGTCCTTGGTGCTGATGTACAATGATACTGATACTGATGTTATTGGAATGTGCTTTTCTGATGGGTGCCATGCTGTTGTCTTCAAAAGTTTGTACACATGAGCTCTAAGCAGGTGTTGGGTACTTACTCAGTCCTAGGAAAAAATGTTTCCTGTTTCAGTCCTGAAAAGAAATTAGGTTGGTAGGTAGGGATTATCTTTGTTTTCTTTGTTTTTTTTCAGACTTTTGCGATCATCTCTAAATAGTGATCCAACATATACAATACAGTTTAACAAACTTAAGTAAAACTGGCATGAGGACACATACATTTTCAATGTAAATGTTGGAAAACCGCTTGTATAACACTTCATCACTCAGGTGTCAGATGATGGAGCTAGAAAAGGTTGATCAGCTCGAAAAATTTATGTCCCTTGCAGGGGTCCACCCCCCAAAAAAGGCTAGGGTCAACAGATTTTTCTAGGGTCGGTTGGGAAACAATAGTTTTTTTCCATGCCTAAAAAGTATTACTTAAGCATTTGGTACTGCCCTTGGTGCTGATGTACATGTTATTGGAATTTCCAATGGGCACCATTCTACTGTCTTTTCAGTAGTCAGCATCTCATGATGTTTGATTTGGTCTGTTGTCCACAGCTATGCCAGTACCAGGTCAGGGTATATATTTGAGGTGAATGCTGCAGACATCTCGATCCACCATGTTCGAAGGCTGCTGCCAGTCGACCCCGGGCCGCACCGCGAGAAACCAACCTTTCACTCCGGTAAGAAGCAAAGATAAGTGCTGTGTGCCGGTTTGCTGGAACTAGTTCCAGACTTGTAAAAATGTTTAGTTTCAAGTCCAAAAAAACAACATCTGGAGCTAGTTCCTGATTTACAAAAGAAAAAAATCATATCACATTCCCCCCTTTTGTTCTAAACCACCTGAAATCTTCAATAGTCAAAAATTTGCACTGCAAAATGAAGACAACATCGTCAAGTTTCGGCATCTGTAAATTATGTGGCCACAGTTTTGTCCAGACGTGCCCCGCAAACAACATATCTTGCTTCTAAACCCTGGTAGTGCAGTGCTCGCTACAAAATTACAAAAGTCCGGACCTGAACTTAAACCTCTGGACTTGAATCCGGACCTGGACCTGAACGTGGGTTTAAGTACACCGCACTAGTAAAGACATCAACCCCATGATTTAAGTGCCAACCTACAGACAAAAAAAAGGAAAGGCATTGAAATATTCAAAGAAGTTAGGATCTTTCGTTTAACTTCTCTTGATTGGTGCAATGTGTCTGACTCCCCTTGATTCTTGATGTACCTACAGTTGCAGGTGGGATAGCAGTGAATGCCATCTATGTAAACGAGAGCTTTTGTGTGACTGGGTCAGATGATGGCTACCTCCGGCTCTGGCCACTGGATTTCACCAGTGTCTTCTTAGAAGCAGGTAAGTAAGATCTTCTACTACAGTTTTGGTAATTTAGAAAACAACATGTTTGAATGAGATCTCATGTTATTAAGGCATTCAGCTTGGCAATCCAAGAATTTGGAGTAAAGTCTGATTTCGTGACATGCCACAGCTTTGCCATACATGTAGCTCTGGCCTAGGAAAAAAATGTTGTGTTTCCTGTTTCACAACCAATCCTAGAAAAAATGCCAACCCTACCATTTTTTTGGGGTGCAATCCTGCAAGGGACACAGATTTTTCGAGCTAATCAACCTTTTCTAGCTCCATGATCTGATACCTCACTGAGGGATAAAATGTTGTACAGTCAGTTTTCCAACATTGAAATTGAAAATATAAGTTAGACTAGTCCTTCTTTGTAAAACTGTATTGTATAAGTTGGATCACTAGAGATCGCCAAAGTCTAATGAAAGAAAGAAATAAAAAGATAATCCCTACAGTATAATTTTTCAGAACTGAAATAGGAAACAACATTTTTTTTGTAAGGACTCAAGTGCCATGCGATTTGAATGTTGAACTTTTTATTCTCTGCACAGAGCATGAAGGTCCAGTGACAGCTGTCAGAGCTAGCCATGATGGGTTGAAGGTCTTGGCAGGCACTACCACTGTGAGTGTACTTTACTTTGCTTATATTTTACAACTATCGGATCATATTTCCTTAATAACAATGTAAAATATGTATCCCTCTATTCACAATGTAAGACAAGTCTTTCAATTTTTCTGACAGTTGCAAAGATAAAGCAAAAGTCCATGACTGAGTTAAAAATCTCATGATCAGATCTTTGTCTTGAAGTACGTACCGTACTGTTATTCACTTTATATTTGCAGTAGCAAAAGTACGTGGTCTGAAAAAAATGGACATGTTCGCAGAGCAAATTATGTTCAGCAAGTGTAGCAAAAAGAAAGTTTGCGGATTTTTGTTCATGGTATTGATAAGTTGATAAAAGTTAATAATAAGTCTGACTCAATATAAGTTACATTGTAGTAAAGTTGATAAAAACTATGAAGATAGCAGTACCGTGAAAAAAAACATGATTAACAATAACAGTCATGTCATACAATGATGCGTATATATTTTATTACAGGGAAATCTGGGCATTCTGGACATCCCCACGCGGTCCTACACCACAGTCATGCGGTCACACACTGACCGTATCTCGGACATGAGCCTGGACATGACACGGGCACACATAGCCACTGTATCGGCTGACCACACCATCAGGGTTTGGGACATGACCAACTTCAAGCAGGTACAGTTTGTGATGGTCCTATACTACAAAACTTCTTTAATTTTATTTCAGCATTGCGTACTTCAATATCAAAACTGCTACAGAGCAAAATTATATAATAAGACGTGCATCATCACAGACATAATGGTACACCACGTGCCTAATTACACAGAAATGCTACGTACAGAACAATGCGTTTTGGCTGCGAACATCTTCCAAAAGCTTTAAGCATTCCTTAAACACGGGGGACAAAACATCTGGTACCACTTATCGACCCCTCCCTACATCT